CCGATCTCGTTCTTTGCTAACTACTGGGTCGATCCACGTCGTCGTCGTCGTCATCGTGCTTCGTGAGCCAGATCTAATTATAATCCAACGGATCGCTCGATCGCGCCCGATAAGCGCGATCGCGCTCATCGACCTTCCGTTTCGTTCGATCGAAATTGAAATCGAAATCGAAATCGAAACCGATCGATCGATCGCGTGCATCGAGCGTTGCACCGCGTTCGATTTATTTGCAGACTAATCGGCCGATTTCAATGGAAATCGTGAACGATCGACGACGACGGACGGAGATCGAGTTGGCATAATGGAAGTAACGAAATCGCGGCTATAGAAGTTCGAAAATCGCTGATGCACTGGCATTTTCTTTCTTGTCTCTTTGCTCGTTTCCAATGCTAATTGGGTTTTACCTTCGTTTATTTTTTTTTTCTTTTCTACGAAGCTTCACTCCGATCTTTATCGAGTGCCATTGGCTGCTACTCGAATTTGCCATCGCGCAAATTGCGCGATTATAGATCGGCAATGGCGATTATTCGCTGAACGCTGTCAATGTCAGTCCATGGCACTCCGTCCTCTATTTATTTTCTCTCTCGTGCACGGGGTGCCTTTTCGATCATTGTGCGAACGCGACGATAAACAACGATTCGTGGTTAATTTTGTTCCCCATTCTCGACCATCGTTTGCAAACACGCGCAGAAAATGGCGGCAATCGTTTTTTAACGTCGAAATTTGCACACGAAGCAAGGCATCGCGTGACCGTCTCGAAGTCCCCATCCGTGCGAGCATTTTTCTTTTCTTATTTCTAATTTCGATTCTTATTTTTCTCTGCTTCCGTTTGTTTTGCCTTTGCTCAGCCGCAGTTTTCCTTTTTGAACGATTGAAAATAAAAAAAATATATAAGAAAAAGAAAGCAGAGCGACGCCTCGTATGGTTGCGCTTCCACCGCGAATACGATTTGTCATAACCGTGTCCAGCTCTCTCAGCGCAAGCTCTCTCCCGATTTTTTAGCCGATCTTTTCTCTCGTGCTCCTTCGATGTTTTCGCACGCTCTATTGGCTTCCCTTCACGCGTCTCCCCGGAAGGGACACGCGGAATTTACAACCGAATCCGTTTTCTTCCATTTTTAACCGGACAGAAAAGGGAGAGAGAGAGAAGAGAGAGACGAAAGCAAAATTCCAAAGACAAATTCGATTATGCGTCTTGATATTCGAAGCGCCTTAATGTCGATTCAAACGAAGGGGAGCAAATTAGAGAATGAGAGAGCGAGAGAGAGAGAGAGAAAAAAAAAATCGAGAAACAAAAATTAACGAAAATGTAAATTTCAAAAGTGAAAATAGAAAAAAAAAAAAATTTTACCCTGGGCTACGTTTGAGGGTAAATTGTGAGGGCGGTGAGCTTGAGCGAGGGTGGTTACAGGAGCCTGTACGGAGGTCTGTCCGCGGGACTCCAGAGACAGATGTGTTTCGCCAGCATACGATTGGGCCTCTACGACGGGGTGAAGTCACGCTACGCTGGAATCATCGACGGTACATCCAACAAACTCCTAACTTTTTGATTACGTAATCCTCCTATACGATATAACCGAGTAGACGCGCGGGCGCGAGCGAACGATCGCCGCGCACGTGCCCCATCTCACTGTTACACGAATCAGTAACACACGCGTAAGTAATGGCTGGTTGGTTGATCATCGGCCATCATCGGCCGCCGCGTGCTTTTTCCAACCAATTACGAAAACGATTCAGTTATAGAAATATGAATAAGATGAGAGCTCTGCTCTCGCAGGCTAATTTTCTCCCGATTTATCGCCGATCGCGAGTCCCGGACGCTCTTTACTTTTTCATTTTATTTTATTTTACTTTTTTTTTTACGTAATTCGAAAAATCGGTTAATCGGTATCTCGTCTCGCCGATCGTCGCCGTTTCCACGATCGAGTAGTCGAGAGGAAGTAAGAAAAGGAAGAAAGAAGGCTAATCACGCGACTTAATGATCGAAGATTAGGTCATCGCTCGTGTTCTGCACAAATTGGATTACGCGTCGATTCGCTGTAACTTTCTATGCTTTTATAATTCCGTGTCGTGTTCGAGATCGACCGATTTTTCTCGGGAACGAGTTACGGTAGCTTTTTGCTTTAATTTTGTTTATTTTTTCGCGATTAGAAAAATGTAGAAGGAGACGCTAGAAGATTGCGCGTCACTGGATGTCGTAGTTGGTACGATTTCTCGGAACGCGATTTTTCAGATTCTCCTTCGAAATTCTGCCGATCGTGTGGATACGGATGTATCATTGATAAGAAGACCGGGCTCGCGCGTTTTCGACATTCCTCTGTACGCGTAAATAATCGAGTAATTGTTATCGCGACACGCTCTTTTTATCGGTCATTTATGTAACGATTCCTCTGCGAAAGATAAAGCGTGTTCGTTGACAGCTGAACGATCGCGACGCGAATTTCGAGCTCGTCTCCGATCCTCATTGTGTCGCATGTTCTGAACGTTTCCTTGCGTAACTCGTCAACGTGGTTGTAACCGTGCCTCTTAACATCTTTCTAATTACTTGCATCGAGAGATTTGCTAAAACGCCAGGTACTCGCGATCAACCACTCGCGTTGTTGATAACGAATACTTGCCAATTGGATATGGACTCTGTCAAATTGCAAATACAACGTCGAAGTACAATCGACGCGCGATTAAATCTCGATGGGATCGTTCGATAGTTGGCAGAAAGTTGATCTCGAGTACCTGCCTGGAACATCTCGTACTTGACCCAGTTCTTGTCGCAATGTAATATTGTACTCTCGTAAAAAAATGAAGTCGTTGAGAAAAGAACCGTGACGTTAAAGTTATCACTTAGACAAAGCGTTGGTTGTAACGCGAAGATAATCAATGTGCTAATAAACGTGCTGTTAAACGTGCTGTACCGCGCAGAGCGCGATCTGTCCCGCCCTGCATCCTACTTTTTTCGATCTAAATCCGTCACACGGAACGTGTAACGTATTCGAAGCAATCCAGACCCCAACACCGAACCGGGCCGTCTTTTCACCGTACTCTTTTGTCTTGGCAGGTAATAACAGGAGCGGATCGAAGAGTATCTCCGTACGAATCGCCGCTGGAATCACTACTGGAGCCCTGGCGGTGCTCTTTGCTCAGCCGACCGACGTCGTCAAGGTCCGCCTACAGGCTGGAAGTAACGGACGATCGTCGGTGAGATACAGCTCGACCCTGCAAGCGTACAAGAATATCGCTGCCGAAGAAGGGACACGGGGCCTTTGGAAAGGTACCATCCCCAATTCTGAGTACCATTTTCTCTCATTCCCATGCGTTAATAATACCTAGGCGCTGTCAAACACCACGCGCGACCAACATTCCTCGCGGATCACCGATTTTTCATGGACACTGTGATTCAAAGTTTGCGGATCTACTTTTTGGGAATCAGATGGCTTCGAATTTATATAAATTTCGTGTAAATAGACAAGCGTAGAGTATAAAACTTCTAGAAGTACGGAGTAAAGTACGTAATCATAGAAAGCATAAAGAAGCTATCAAATTTTCGTTCCAAACATTTTATCATACCTAAACAAATGCAAAGGGTACCTCCAACTTAAAATACCGAATTCTAGCCAATTAAAAAAATAACTTCCATCTGTCAAGATCCCCAACAAACGCACGATTACTTAACCCCCTAGTATTCTCTTAATATACATTTAGACTTTCAGTTAAGACCCTATCGAACCGAGATTTCGTTTGGAATCGAGAGGAATCATCGAATGTAATCACCTCCTACGATCATATTAAAACCCAACCGGAAAATCTGTATGTCACTTTGAAACCATAAATCCAGCTGCACGAATGGAACATCGAATCGCTGAATTCTAAGCACGTTCTCTCGTTTAGGAACCATCCCCAACATCTCGAGGAACGCGATCGTGAACGTGGCTGAGATCGTCTGCTACGACATCATCAAGGATTTCATCCTGGACTACGGCTACCTGCGCGATGGGATTCCTTGTCACATAACGGCCGCCGTGGCGGCAGGACTGTGCACCACCTTGGCTGCTAGTCCCGTGGACGTGGTGAAGACGCGTTACATGAACAGCGCCCCTGGCGAGTACAAAGGCGTGAAGGATTGCGCTGTTCGCATGCTGAAGAAGGAAGGAGTGGCAGCGTTTTACAAAGGCTTTGTGCCCAGCTTCACGCGTCTGGTGTCCTGGAACATCGTTCTATGGATCACCTACGAGCAGTTCAAGGTCTACGCGAAGAAGCTGAACGGCGACCGCTAAGCACCATCCCGGTCACGCCGTTCTCGTCGATCGACCTAGACGTATCCGTCGATTCGCGAAATGTACACGCACGAACCGTGTTTTTAATCAACTACAGCTTCATAATCTGTATTTCGATCGGGTAGCTTAGGGATGGGAGGATGTATGTATAACGTGTATCTGGTAGATTTGGTCGTTACGAGTAGAACCTCCTGCCTGCCGTCGTTCGCTGTTTATCATGGTGTTTGATCGTGACACGTGTGTACCTATAAGTTCTCTTCTAAGTAGATAGTGCATGTGACCGATTCGTTAAACGTTACTATTACTTTGTATTGATTGTCGGAGTAGGCCGGGTTCTCGATGAATTTCATAACGTTTAAGGATCTATCGTAGGTGGCAGCCGTTGTGTCTGTCGCTAGCTTTTCTACCTAATACGTATCCGTATGTAATAACGACTCCTAGGATTCTTGCCTATGCATACGTAGAGGGCGCGTATACGATTTACCATAGAAAAGCTGTTACGCTGCTGCTTCGTAGAGTATAATTGTCCGCACGAAGTTAGATATTAGACTTCCTTTCTCGTTACTAAAATATTTAAGTGTAAGAGAATTTAAGCACAATTCCGTTTATATCGTTAAAATAGATTCGTTATAAACGACGGCAGCCGATTCTCCCATCGTCTATCAATATATTTTCGATTTTCTTTCCGTAGGTATGACCGCGCGTGCACTCGTCATCGGGGTTGTCGCGTCGGTGTCAACGTCCGCGATTCGGCATCGTGAGAAACGGAAGAGAAATGTCCGTCCAAAATTATCTGACACGCGATTCCGGTACCATTCGAGGTGATCGTGATTGGCCTATTTCAAACGATCGATCGAAAGGGAACGGGAAGGACGAGAAAGGAGCGCTCTTTTCTCAGGAGAGTGTCGCTTTTTTCATCGAGTGCACGTACGATCGAGATGTTAGAAGTCTCTGAATAATCCATAACGAAACATTTTTGGCTACGTAAGTCAGCTTTAGAGGTATCAGTAGGACAATAGAGGAAAAGAATTTCTCCCCCGATGAATATCTATTATAAAATCGCGCGCATTACGATACGCCAGACAGACAATAAGGTTTCAAAATTGATTTTAACGTGTTTGCGAAATTCGTTGATAACTGCCACACACATACACATCATTCGAATGATTTCCGTTTCTAGACTCCGATTTATTCTTCGACGCACTGTAGCCAACGAGCTAACCGATGATCCTTCGCTATGTCTACATACAATTGTAATTCTTTCTTCTAATTATTACGTTACGTTTGCGGGATGATTTGTCGCAATCGTTGCTAGATATCGGAAAAAGTACGGGCGAGTATTTCACGCAATCTCATTTCGGGTCAATTAATATTATACAGGGCACAATTTTTATCGAATTTCGATCGACCATTTGTAGTCTGTTTTTAAGGCTATGTTACCATCTATTGATGTACGTTTCACATTAAAGAGCAATTCTTATCTTATTAATTCCGACTGTGTCATCAATCTACTGCTTTATTTATCTTTTTTTTTTTAATTTTTACTTCATTTTCCGGTTCACGCAGTTTACCATCAATCGATAAACGAAACCTATGTCTTCTAGGGGTGCACAAGTTTTCAACGTCACGTCGATCCTCGTAATCTGTAATTGTAGCTCGAGTACTGTACAGTATTAATTGCGACTACGTTTAAACGTGAATCGTTGATAGACCAATTCTTTACGATGACGACAATCCACGCGAATTTCTCTTTTAATTACGTTTACGCTACTGTAACGAAAAGTTTGACTGCCTCTATGACACGTAACAGAAGCTGCAGAGAACAGGGAAATGGTCTCAACCGAGCAAGATGTCAATCGATGTCAAGAAGAACTGTCGGAGATGTGAACCATTATGTCTTTATCGTGCATTGGCGTAGCCAGAGGCGAATGTGGTGATTTTATTTTTCGGCACGATCTATGTCGTAGACTTAGAACCGTCGTCGACGATCAGAATTGACAATTGTCAAATTCGCGAATTCGCGAAGCTTGGAATACTTTTGGTGGAGCACGAATTACAAGGGGAATCGAGTGATCGTTTCCCGAATCGGGGATAAAAGCTCTAGCTACGCCACTGCTATCTGTACTGCTATCTGTTAAGTCTGTTAAGTGTGTCTCATTCTCGGAAAACTGCATTTCACGACGAACACCGCTTTAAGAAGTCTCTTGCGTACAAATGCTCGATCGTAGGCCTCCGTTGCGGATGACACAGTTCTTCGAAAACGTACAAGCCCCCGAAAGGGGTAGGAACTAACTGCATATTGTAGAATTTATGGAATGCCCGATCAATGTAAACTCACTTGGTTTTACGCATTCGATGTGCTACGTCGCTAGCTAAACTATTTTTCATCATGCCCACGAGAATAATTTCGATAAATTGCGATAACTTCATGCAAAATGAAAACTCTCTTTCGATTATTCGCTGTAATTCAACCATTCTCTGCTCTTTCTTTTTCTCTCGCTCTTTCTAGTCTTTTCACTTTCCTGTAGCAAAGCGTTTTCGATTTTTCTACATTTTGTTTCTTTCGTGTCAATCTACTCTCGGTTGGATCCATTGCATGCACGATTAGGGTTGCCATCTTGAAATCACGAACCGAAAATTCAAGAATTATAAATTACGATTAATTTTTAACAACTGCTAAACGATTGACGATTTAATGATTGTTGTGAATGTATTTTTTGAGGCAAAATCTCAGATTAGGAATCGAAAAACGGATGGCAGCCCTACGTACGCCATTACACTGATCGAGCTTCGATCTCTCGTGTCGATGCCCGCCATGTTTGTTCCGCTGCATCGATGTAAAGACTCGCTTTCTGTTCCCCGCGACTCTTAAATTCTAAATTGCCAAGTCTAAATCACAACTAAAGTATTGTTCTAAGCACCAAATCACTGTATGTAACGCTTGTAAGCAGCTTGTATTAAAGATGAGCAACACGATTTCCGAATATCCGAGTTTGGCAAACTTCGTGCGAAGCGATTTATGCGACCAGCGACTGAGTCGATTAATTAAGCATTTCGATGTGGATGATCGATTAATTTCTAACACGATTTCCGAATATCCGAGTTTGGCAAACTTCGTGCGAAGCGATTTATGCGACCAGCGACCTCGTAGGGAAGTCTGAGTCGATTAATTAAGCATTTCGATGTGGATGATCGATTAATTTTGGACGCTTGCGAGATCTGGGTGAAAATCTGTAGCGACATGTTTGCCGTGTAAACGAGCTTAAGCTTTTGCCAATCGATAGAGTATGGTAGAAGTAGAGTAACAGCGAGGTACAGCGAAAAAAGGAAAACGAACTCTGCCTGTCAGAACGTTGCTTAATTTCACGCTCGGCTAAACGAGCCTGCAGTTTCAGCGAGAAGAAGGGTAATTAGCTTCGATCCTTTTAGTCCTTAAAACCGCTTCGAACCGCTTCGATTTGCTGCCGCGTATATTTTCCAGTCGTTGATTACGTTGATTGTTCGCGTGGTTGAATTTCGAATCGAAAGCTTCGCGCTTCTGTCGATTTGCTTTTGGCGTTCATCGTTGCTTCTGAAACTCCGATTAAGCGGGGGGCACCTTTCGTACAGGTGTCACTGAGGCTTCTCGCGCGTTTAAGATGCTCAAATTTAATAGACGTTTCGATTTACAACTGGCGAGCGACGCGTTCATTTTTCTTAAATTACTATACAATGAAACGGGGCTTCAGTTCTTAGATAGGATCTCCTTAGGAATAGCTTGACATTTGTTACGAGTTTTAAATAAAAATTCTTCAAAGTGTACAGAATCATTCCACGGTGTTTTCACGTCTTTATTTCACAAGCAAAACCCGTACAACCACCCGATCGCTGTACAAAGAATCGAGAAGATCGATTCCATCGACTAGAATTTTCCTAGGCTTCGAAGTCGGACTCGTCCGAGTCGCAGCTGGACGACATGTCATCCTCCATGCACCCTGACTCCTCGGGGACCCCTTCTCCCATGGGAATCCTACGGAACAGCAATATACTATATATCCATGCGAACGTAAAGACAAATCGGTCTGTTAGCTATCGTCAGTAAAACGATCAGGCAAGATTCAGTTTGTTAGACGTATTAGTAACATGGACAAAGGGTAAGCACTTGAGAGAACGTTGCTACAGACAAATCTTGCCTCGATCGCTCGCTACGGGATCGCAGCGAGATGGTGCACCGCTGGTTTATCCTGAATACATTTAGGAGGCATTTTCGACTTCCGCAAAATACATTTTAGCGGACAACAGTCCTCCACCAATGACCTGCGTTCAGAAATCCACGACATTATCCTGACATCGAATTTTCACCTCGAACACAGGTTACTTACTTGTCGATGCTCCAATCCTCACCGCAGTCCTTCATCATGGACAGAGCCTGACAGAAATCCTGACCTATCGCCTTCAGGTGTTTGGTATCCAGGTGCAAGCCGGCCAAGGCTCCCTGGTCGCATCCGCAGAAGCTGCTCTCCATCGTGTAGCTTCTATTTGGAACGAGAAAATCGAGCATAGATATCGAACGAGATCTAGTGAAATAGAGGTAAAGATGATGGATGATCGGTAACGATTGTACCTCGAGACACCCAACTGCCGCCATATGGCTACCCTAGCCGTGGACTCCTTGTTCCTCTCAACCTTGAACGAGCAGAGTGGCAACGCGAACGCAGGAGATATCCTCTGCATGAGGTGCGGCAACATCTGAAAGGCGAATCGCGGGACTTGGTCGCTAGTTGCACGAAATCTCATTATCCTTCCTGATCTATGCAGTATTTTTTTCCTCGCTCGAGGAAGGGTAAGGTAATCGTAATTCGGGATCGATAGCTCTCACGTGATCGGAGAAATTTGACGAGATCGTTAGAGAAGGAATGGTAGCACTGGCGAACCTAGTCCGAACGTGAGGGTGCATTCGCGTGCGGAATATCTAAAATTGGAGCACACGGAATCGATGTACCGATCCTGTCGGCTGTAAATTACATCGGGCGAAACGAGTTTCACGCGAATACTTGCTCCCGCGCTGGAGAACCGCTCGCTCGTAAATTGACTTCGATAGATCGCGCTAGATTACCGTTCGTAGCAATGTACTCGTTGCCGGCGCATGTAACCCGTACGTGTCTAAAAATAATACCCTAGTCTTCGCTCCTCTTTCGTTCCCTTACCAAATACTGCGCCGGTTGGTCCGGTTTCGCCCTGTCCGCGGCGCTCCAAGAACCCGACCTTGAGCAACCGAACAGAAACACGTTCTTCCTCCGTGAATGGCCGTGATAGTCGACGAAAACATAGGGAGGTCTTTGCAGCACCCTCGTGCAGTACTCCATCAGGCCCTTGGTGTGATAGATCACCGGATGGAGCACCTGGTTCGGGTTGCTCCATCGCCTGTTCAGGTCCTCGTTCGTTAGTCCGTATCGATTACTGTAATCAACCGAAAATAAACCCTCGGACGCACGTTTCACGCACTTCCCGTGCAAATGAGAGTACACCGAGCATGATTATCGTTATCCGCGATGTCGATGGAGATGATACGTTCCCCCGGCTGGAAGTTTGATGTAACGCGCTGAAACCGTAACCTCTATTTACCATATTTATTACGGACAAATGAGCGATCGGAGCGATCCGGGTGTATTTATATCGCGGAACACAGAGTGCTTCCGAGAAGCACGGTTTTAGAATTTCCTGCCAGTTTGCACGTCGACGGTGTGTGCACGTCGAACCGAGAAGGAGAAGGGCCTTGTCAGAGATCGTCTTCATTTAAGGATTCAGCCGCGGTTAGAAGGACGTTTCCGGCGGCCGGAAGTCTGGCCGGAGGAAGTGACGCCTCCGCGTCGCGCATAGCTAATAGTGGGGTACCGTGGACCCCTGGCTTACACGCCGAGGCCGCCATTTCGCTTCTACCCGTTGTCTCGAGATCGTTTCGTGTCGTGTACATAGCGCTAGGTACACGGAATACCAAATACATCTGGACAGAAATGTCCAAATATTTCCACCGCGACCAACAACACTTTGGCCCGTGTAACGAACTCAAATATTTGACGTTTTTTCGAGGTTAAAAAGAAATCGGCGAGACGCGCGACGAGATCGAGGCACGAGGTTGATCCGTGATAATGGTCGATCGTTGGTTCGTCTGGTTTTCTCGAAGGAGAGAGGTCGTTGGAGAATTCTTCTCGGAAGCGGAGCGGAGAAGCGAGAAGCAAGAAGCGTAATACCATGGAGGGAACATCGACCGAAGATAGAAATAATTATCGAGTACCAGTCACGATTACAAGAAGTCGCTCACCGTGGGATTAACAATCGCTACACGCGTACCCGTGGACATTTTTTTCTTCCGATCATCGAGACATCGGCCACGTAATACAAACATTAGCAATTTGACGCCTCGTAATCGCTTCCGGTCTTTAAGGTAGTACAGACGCACGTGACACGGGCCCAAGATAGCAACGTAACGATCGATATCTCGCGTCGGACAGATGGCAAGGAATAATAAGAATAATGGACACGCGGTGACGATGCACCTGCGGATGATGTACGCGAAGAAATGCCCCGCGCCGCGTGTTCGTCCTCGTTGCTCGCCGTGGCTGCTGTCGTCGCGAAGACGGAGGACGTTCACCGGCGGGCATTCGTAGAAACCGTCGAAAAACAACAGTCATCGGAGATAATAGATTTCGTCCGGCGTGGAACGAGAAAGGAGAGGAAAGGGTAGAGTGGAAACGAGACGCGAGCGACGAAAAAACCGGGCAGGAATTACTCTCGGACGCGTATTAAAATGAAATCATCGCTGACGAACACAGTGCGAACAGTACAGCTCTGTTAGGACGGCTAAAAACACGGAACTTCTCGAAACCGCCATTCCGTTATCTTGTAATATCCTCTATATATTTCGAACAGCTCGAGCCATAATGGGACGAGTAGGAGGAGCAGGAGGTGGAGAACGGGTCCATTATCGGGGGACCTCTTTCTTCCAGTTCTCTAATAGCAACGATAATCATAGCCGTAGTTCCAGGACGATTCATTAGGATGGGAAGCAACGCGACTCGCCGCGATTATACCGGTCGCGATGGTTGCGCAGCTGCAAGAACGAGGCGGCTAGGAACGAGCCTGAATTCGACGGCGCGATCGGTGCACGAAGCGAAATGCCAGGAGACGCGGTTACACGCGAGCGACAATGAAGCAATTGTACAACGAACTTCTTCGCAGTTTTATTAGTCGACCGATGTAATGGGCAACATCGGTCTGTTCGTGCTAGCAGGCGATGTCAATGACTCGGACGGAGGAGCCTTGACCGCGAACTTCTCTCACCTTCTCAGAGATCCTGTACAAATTACGCTTAACCGACCGCTCGTCTCGGCCTGGCTGCACGCGTGAGATTTTCAAAGGTACCGCCGCTCTCCGTACACCTGGCAAGCTTAAAAATCCCGCTGAATTACCCGCTCGTTGGATTACGATTAACGAGCGCCGATCGCGCGATTTATCGTCATAATTTAATCGATCGTAAATCACCGCTCGAATCACCACCGTTCCAGCTTCATTGTCATTTTCGCTCCATCCTCCCGACATCGGTCGCTCGGGCGCGCGCGCGCGCGCACCCGCCTCTCTGGCCGATCGCGAGAAATCCGGTACCGGTCGTCGCGATATCCACCGCGACGCTACTGAACTGCATTACCGATGCGGCACGGTGCAGCTGCGGTCTCGAGAGGATTACATCGAAAGTGGTCGTACGCGTTCTCTTTGGTTTCACTCTCGACAGAGCGAAGCCGATTATCGCGCCGCTACAAGGGGCCGCGAAACGCGCGGGAATCGTGGAATTCGCGGATCGTGAAAAAAATTCTCCCTTCGCGAATTCTCTGCTTTTTCCACGGATCAAACGACGTAGCGATTACTTCTATCAACGTATTAACGGTTCACGACCGCGAACCGACACAGACGGATCGAGAAGCTTCGACGGCGCGGATGGTTGATCCCGTTACGCATAATTTTTGCCGATTTATCGTCGAACCACGATGATTACGTCGTAGCAGATAGTGGTTTATCGTGCTGTAACAGGGATTGGATCACGTAGGCCGTTGGGAAGAAAATACGAGGAGAAACGAGGATACTCCGGGGAACGTGGCAACGTCCAGGGGAAGTCGGCGGAGAAGCGGACGCGAGGAAGAAAAATCGGCGGATCGTTCTTGCAATCGTAAAGCGAAATCCTTGGGCACCTTGGGAACGCTCATTTCTTCGTGGTCGTCTTCCACGTATCACGCGTTTCTTCCGTGAACTTTACTACCAGCCTGCTCGGCTTCCCCTCTATCTTTGTTTCATCTCTTCTCGCCTCGCGGCATTTTCTTCGAGGTTATCCCGGGGTTCGATCGTGTAACCGCGCTTCTGAACTCCTTTTTCCCTGGCCCCGCGCCCCGCCGAGAAATCTATTTCCTGCGCCGTTGAAATATGACCGTATAACCGCGCTGGAACGCGATTTCGAGCGGAATCGCGTTCCATCCGTTGGCGCGAGATTTTTCCTTGCCTCGTGGAACGATCCAAAGGGATCGTGCGATCGGCCATGCAGCTTTCCTCCTCGATGATTTCCGGTGCGAAGAATCGCGTGGACGAGTATCGCGACAGGAGATAGGAGGGTACAAGTACGCGCGTCGGATACCATCGGCGTGGAGCGTCCTTCGGAGCGAGATGAACACGGGGATCTAGGTATCCGCGAAGAATGTTAAATTTGTCACGATATATCGTCTTTTAAACGCGCAAATTACCACGGAGCACCTTGTCGTAGCTGCCGCGGTTATCTCGAGTGCTTTCGCGCGCGAGAATCGAGAGCCACCTCGAGCTCCATACGTTGTTCCGCTCGCGCGGCAACAGAAACACGCAAGCAACGATACTAGCCGGCGAGCAGCAGCTCGCGAGTATCTTTATAGCGTCACTGATACGAAAGGGACGTGTGACTTTCGTTTCAGGATGCTGGCCGCCCGAAGGGTTCAAGCGATCGCGCATTAGAATACTCGTGACCGGTCCCCGATTTGCATTCCTTCGCGAAACCAAGGTCTCTCTCTCTCTCTCTCTTTCTCTCTTTCTCCTCGTCTCTCAATCTCCTCCTTTTTTCCCCTTTTTTCCCTTCCCTCGCGCGATCCCTTTTTGCCCTTTTTTCGCGCGTGGAGGAAGGATGGAGAAAAGGGCGAGCATTCGCTGATGAATTCTCGGCTCGCTGACGTTTCTTCTACGCCCTGACCGATCGTTTCTTCGAAGCTGATGCGGCAAAAGTAGCCCTTACACGGCGTCGGTCCCTTCCACGAGGAGAACGAAACGCAGGAATGTCCGTGGAGCTTTTTACTATAACGCGATTCGTCGCGGTGAAGCTCGGTCCGCGGGCCTCTCGTAAAATTCGCGTTTCACGGCGCGCCTCCTCGCGCCGCTCGCGCCACGCGTAAATAGAAACAGCCGGAACGACGGATTCCGCTTAGGATTAATAAAAGACCGGCTCGGTGCGTGGATTCTGCTAGATTATTGGCACGTTCGATCGATGGAAGGATGCGCCAGACGCGGGGAAAATCGCGCGACTGGTTTTTCGAGTTCGATGCACCTTGGACCCCGAGGATCATTGACAGATTTCGCTAAATGCAACGCCAAAGAGGTTCCCCGATTTTTTCCCTCCGCCATACCGGTTTCATCTTCCGCTCGCATAGACAAGCGAGCACAATAAGAAAATGACGAGTAGTTAACGGTATTTATCGGTTCGAAAACGTGAAACGCCAAGGACAGGCGACCAGGAAATTGCTAGACAGTCGTTCGTGGAGGAACGAACAGCGATTTCATGCCTACGTCACCCGTGTCCGTCGTGATCGGGGTCCGATTTATCATCGATCTGTAACTCCCTCGACGATGATTCGCCGATACCGCGCGAAATATTCGTCGTCCGAGCTGGCTCGCCGCTGGTCCAATAAATCCCGAGATTTAATTTCGCGATTCCGTTGCCCGAACGAGTGTCTCTGCACGGCCAGGGAATAGATTTCTCGCCTATCCGGATCGAGATTTAATTTAGAGGCCTGGTCGGCTGGTCCACAGACATAGTTCCCTGGAATCCTTCCCGGTAACCACGCGCGATACCGAGAAACTGCACGAACCGACCATCCGGACGAAATTGAGTCTCGAAATAGGATAGAGAGAAGAAGAAGAAGGAGAAGAAGAAGAAGAAGCAGAAGAAGAAGAAGAAGAAGAAGAGGAAGAAGAGCAAAGCTAACAGGCTCCTAATGAAGCGAATCTTTGACGGGTTCCCACGAGATGGGCCAAATTGATAGCTTCTAATCCTCGGAAAGCGGGATACGGGAACCGATTCTCCCATTCGAACGATCCGAGTCTGACTAGGAGAAGTATCTTTGGAAATATTCGAAATTTCCGAAAGCGTCTCTTCGACGAGTATTCAACGCCTGCCGATGCCTCGAGACGAGGCTTCCCCACTCTGTTAATAACGTAAATCACCGCGCCGTGGTTCACGAATATAAATGAATTCTTCGTAATGAAGAAGGAATGTAAATTGAACGGTTCGCGCCGCTGCCATGAATCCACGATGAACTTTACGATTTCCAGCGTTGGTTAATTGTTGGAGCTCGGCCTGGCGAACGAGCAGGTACGTCGTCTGCTGTTGGAGAACGCTCGGAGCCACGGATGGCCGGCGAGAGATCACCGAAAAATCGTCATCCGCTAAGAAGCAGTCGTAAATTTAGCTGCAAAGCAGCTCGGTCAATTATATTCAAACGACGGCCAGGCCTGTTTCGAGAGTGTGTAACCGCAAGCAGAAGCAGAGGTTCACGGTTTCAGGTTCTAGGTCAGTCCGTCGAGCCCGGGGCACGTAACAGCGGCAAGAACAGGGGCCCAAGTAAAACGGTGGGCAGCAAGAGGCGCATTTAATGGTCGTACGCTGCCACGGCTGTTATTATCATCCATTTCTGCATTCTATCGGCGATCACATGCACCGTGAGTCGTGATTCGTTCGTGCTTTCGTCGAACAACCAGCCACGGGGACATCGAAAGGGTGGACGAGACTCGGGGAGGAGGAACGCGGCTGATCCCGATACCAGGATGATTTAGGGAACGCATCGGGATTACGTGTCCCCGACCGCGAGATCCGCTCTTTCTTTCCTCCGTCCCTGCGACCGTATAATCGCGTTATATCCCAAGGGAACTGCACTGTCTAAATATATACACGCGGGACATCGTGTGCATAACAAGGCGTGGGTACGTAATCGATGAGCCGCGTACCGAAGATATCCGATGATAACTCGGTCCAGCTGCGTTCTCAACCCTCCCTTCTGTCCGACCATGATCGAATTCGACGATCGTTGCTTCGTCGAATTCGTTTCGACAGGTACCGATCTCATTTTTCATCCGATTCCTCTCGATACGACCAAACGACGGACCGAATTATGGCTTCGAAGCGAATCGGAAGAAAAATTTGCAAGACTGATCGCACCTTTCGTACTAGTACGCGTCGTCTGACCGATTTGTAGGGATCTAATTGCATTCTCCAGGAAACGGACGAAATTTTGGATATCCTGTGAATGATCGAGGATTCGTGGTCCAGGTACGAGTAACGCGATGATCGTATATCGTGCCGAAAAGCTCGGAAGAAACGCAAGGAATCGCGACGTGGAGTCGCCGCGCAGCGTTGAGAGGAAAAGAATATTCGCGAAGAACGAGGACTAGCCTGGACCGGATACGCGTGGTGGTTACGCGCGAAGACGCGGATAGAGGGTATCGTAGGAAAGATGAGGATCACTGTCCTAGAAGTATCAAAATGGAAGAATCGACGCCGTGGAAGCCTTCGGGGCAGTATGGCTCCTCCGATCGTCTCGAACGTCGAAGCTATTCGCGGGCTAAAACGGACTTCGTTCCATGCCCATGGAACGAATGAACGAGGGAGAAAGAAAAGTCGTGGAGAGAAAAGGGACGGGGGCAGAGTGGAGGAGCAGAGAAGAAGGGTGCTCCTTCGGGAGTGGAGAGAGAGAGAGAGAAAGATAGAAAGAACAGGGGCCTTACATAGCGATTGCTGGCAGGGCCTGAAATAGACCTCGAGAATCCCCCTGTAGCATCCTCACCTCTCTTTCTTCGCCTCCTCCACCACCAGCCTCTTCAGCACCTCCTTCTTATCCTCCTCCTCCTCTTCTTCTTCTTCTTCTGTCGTTTCTTCTTCTACTCTTCTTCTTCTTCTTCTTCTTCTGCTGGTTCTGTCGCTTCTTCTTCTTCTTCTTCTTCTTCTTCTTCTTCTTCTTCTTCTTCTTCCTCCTCCTCCTCCTCCTCCTCCTCCTCTTGCTGTTCGTCCAACAGCAAGCGCGTTGCCTGCAGCTCTCTCGAGAGTCTCCCTTTTCTTTGCTTTTGTTTTCGCAAAAAAGGACCAAGTCCCTCGGCTCGGCTGTGAGAAGTTGTTCCTAGCGTCTCGTTCACGCAGATAGGGCCAAGGCGAAGGAGAAACGGAGACGAAGAAGACGAAGAAGGTGGTGGAGGATCGCTTGTTTATCCAGGATCGAGCTTCTGCTTTCGTTTCACCCACCGATATATGGCCACGAACAGAGACCCCCGTAGGCATTGCCGGACCTAAGTGCACTCCACTGCACTCGGACTGCATTCCCATGGGAATACGTCGCGCAGAGAGTCCGACCTGTTAAACTGACCTGCGCCAATGTACCAGCAAAACGTGACCCACGCAACCAAGCCACGGTCTCGAACATACTAGATTCGAGTGCGCCGCCTGTTTATCCCCCAGGACAGCCAGCCTGCTCTTCTTTTTGCTCCTCCCCGTGCCTCGAAACAGATAAGCGAGGCTTGTTTGTTAACGAACCGCATCCTCGTCGTCCTCCTCGTCGCTGTCGTCGCCGTCTTCGTCGTCGTCGTCGTCGTCGTCGTCGTTGTCGTCGTCATTGTAGTAAATTCGATTCGCCCGCGCGCCTCGAATCGAATCTCTCCCGTGGAAGATTCGACCGTGATACGACACGAGCTTAGCCCGAGATCCCGCTCTCGGTGGTAATAAATTTGTAACGAGAATCGACGTACGAGAGACGACAACCGCGTACCGCAGCGTCGCGACGGTCTTGCGGAAAATATAGCGACGATGCTGTAAAGTACCCTAAAGACAGGGGACCAAAGATTGGCGCTGCAATCATGAACGATGAACACCTAAACGCCTTAGAGAGGCTAGAGGCTAAAAGTCTAACTGCTTCCACTCGTAATTACTCCTTTTTATTTATAATCGAGGCGCGTTCGATAACAAAGCTCGCGTTCCGGAATTTCGATATTCTTCTACCTGACGCGGCGGTATCACGGCGAACCTTTAAATAGCTGGTGAGCGGCTGGTTGTAAACGGACCAAATCGACTGGCGTATCGTTTAGCATCGAGATCGCGGAGCTTTCGTGCGAGCCGTGGAGACGAGAAGAGGCACGCCGATCGAAAGGGACGCGGTGGGTCTCGGATGTCACGCGAGTTCCTTTTTACTGGACCGGTCGCACACCGCGTAACAGAAATAACACGTCGCGTATAATGATCATCGATCCAGCGGTGTTACAGGATATCGAATCGATCGGACACGGCTGGAACAAAGAACAACTGCAAAACGAAGGAGAGGAGGAAAATGCAGAGGACAAAGGGGGAAAAGGGGCAGGGGGGAGGAAGCAGAAGCAGAAGCAGCAGCAACAGCAGCAGCGGCAGAGGCAGGGAGAAGGTAGAGAAGAAAAAGACCGGCTTACAGGGATTTTGCAAGGAGTTGTCCGGTACCGGTTGCATATCGTAATCCAAGTAACCGGGCATCAATGGCGCGGAGTGGTTTCGACTCTCTGACGAGAGAGAGAAAAGCGGACAATAGCACGGTATTCCAGAAGCAGGTGATTTCTCTCGTGCGAGAGAAGACGCGGTCAGAAATGAAGCCTACCTTGAGACCACGAGCCTTTTTGCTGCGCCCTGCCACCGGCGATCGCGAGTGTGGGCCCACGTCGTATACGCCAACGAGGAATCTCTCTCCCTACCTATCTCTCTCTCTCTCTCTTTCTCTCTCTTTCTCTCTCTCTCTCTCTTACTCTCTTTCTTTGTGGGCCCACGTCGTATACGCCAACGAGGAATCTCTCTCCCTACCTATCTCTCTCTCTCTCTCTCTTTCTCTCTCTCTCTCTTACTCTCTTTCTCGTCGAGACGAGATACGGCTTCACTGTGTTAAGGGGTTAATATCGGTGCGGTGCATTAAGACGAGCATCATTCTCATGAGAGTCTCGAATGTTTGGTATCTTGGACGATGTAGGGTGGTATCGTAATGGTTAGACCCACTAGCCGAGCGCGTAGATCCAAGTAATTAACGTGGGCCGCGCGATCGCGAAACGCGTGGACGCTTTTAAGATGGAATTCTCTATCCCTGTGACCGTAGGTGCGCATTAAACTCGGTAAAAATCCGGCTGGATGTATTTAAACGATTGTAAAGCGATTACGCGTTTTTCAGACGTCGAAGATACCTCCCTTAATGGGGGCCGGTCAATGCCGGCGCAGAAAAAACTAAGCGCGGAAAGAGCGGAGAATAAGAATAGACGGCGCCAAAGGCTTAACAAGGGAACCGGTTCAAACCTCCTGCACCAGTGTACCGACTTTCATGGAGATTCCACCGAGTCACTTCGGCCACCGTGTGCAATATATCGAACGCGCGTATGATTCCCGTAATACCTGCTAGGATTGCGACCGCGCGTTAGCTTGGTCGGGCAATTAGCGATCCCGCGTCACATGCCGTTCACGCACGAGACATAGAAACGAACCTTTCCCCCCAAAGAGAACCCCGACAGAGGCAGAGGATGGAATTTTTAAGGGTTCGTACACTCGACTCGCGATTTTCCTCGATCGACGACGTATCGAAGCGAGTCCAGACGAGATCGTTAACGCGTCCGATCGTCGACATGGTTGGCTCGATGGAAAACAGTGATTTTGAGGGATGGTATGTGGCGCGTTCTCGCAGGCACGCTCAGAAATGAAGTCTACCTTGAGGTCGGTGTCTTTTTGCGTCGGCCCGTCGATACAATTCCATTCAGGACGATGAAGACCGTGAAGAGACGCCAAAGCGAAATTCCATCCACTGCAACCACCGACGTAAAACAAACTATACGATGGAACAACGTTATTAATAGCGTGCATCGCCACTCCAAATAGATCGGAGCGCGGAGTTCAGCAACAAACGATCTTCCCGCTGTCTGGTAGACGGCTTCACGCCTCGTTCCCTCGTTTTCGAGGACGATCCGACTCCGTTCCTTCGTTCCTCCATCTTATCCCTGGACTCTCTGCTTTCCGTTTCGCCTTCGTCGAGTCTAGCCAAGAGAATACTCGTGGAAGAAAGTTACGAACACGAACGCGGCGTTTGCTCGATTCTTGGCCAAAGGAACACGTCGAGGGTCTCCAGTCCGCCGAGTCATCGGTGAATCTTCGGACAACGACGGAGAAAGAGGGACGGGAGAGTCCACCTTGGCATGCTGGCGCGAGCGTGTGCTGAAAAGTTCGCCGGGAGAGCAAAGTTCGCGAGGGAACGAGCGAACGAGAGTACGAGCGCGATGCCGTGTCAACGAACGCACTGCATCATCCTCTCTAACCCTCCGGCAGCGACGTCTATTGTGGCTCCTTTTTTTTCTGACCTTGTCACCTTGCATCTTTTTTGCACGACCAAGTCGATTACATTTCGGATCGGTTCGTATCCCCCGTCGACGTCTCGAGCTATCCCGCTCTCTCGTGCCCGCTCGTCCCTTCGTGGGCTCCGCTCGTCCTGCTCTAGGTTAGCCAGTGAATCATCTTCAACGACCCCCTCCTCTGGGATCCGGGCAGAAGACTCTTAAGGGGGCCCACAGCGCAGCGCGAGGCCAGTCCGAGAACGCGACCCTAACACTAACATCCGGTGTATTCCGAGAGTCGGAAACGGAAACGGCTGCTTGATCGATTAATCGACACACGCCACCATGAAGATCGCTCTACTGCTGCTGCTCGTCGCGGCCTTCGCCTCAGGTTGGTACCTTATCGACTATCGAATTCGCGAGAAATTCGCGAGTAATTCGCGAGAAATTCGCGGAAAATTCGCTTTCGGTTCGATCAACGGATCAGAGTGGAATGCGATCCGACTGTCGGAATTCGGACCGGGTACACGGTGGACTGGCACGTTGTTTGCCTCGGCTTTGCAAACATCGAGATTTACGTATAGAATTCCGATATTATATGTCCGCAGTTTCTTCGTGGTCGATGCAACAGGGATGATCGGTATCTCTGGAACGATGCCAGAATTTTTCTCTCGCCGGTCACTCGGTTCCACTTCGCTCGTTCTCCACGTATTCAGAGACCTCGTAATTTTTCCTTCCTCGGTTCACTCCGACGTCCGGTGCATTCAAACGACGAAGAGGAGACTCGCGGTCGCTGCTCACGCACGCCACTTCAAGATCGTTCGTTTTGTCTTGCTCCTTGCTTCTTCCTCCTTTCTCTGCGTTTCTCTTTCTTCGCGCCGTGTTCCTTGAAAGATTCTTTTGTCTTCGACAAAGCAAGCCACCAAGTCGCCGCGGCTTTCGGTCAGCCAAGTATCATCCGCGATTCGAGTCTCGTTTCGCGAAATATTTTTTTTTCCCATCGTCCCTGAAGCTCTCGATCGGAACGATGTCGATGCTCGATCGACGCGAGCACCATATTCATCCGTTACCACCGAGGTAACGTCGAATTACGATGCAAGTGGCGTAATTCGTGAATGAAATCACGGCTCGTAGCGTCTAGCAGGCGTCTTCTCTCGCGAGAACACTGGCGGCAGACGTCTCAAGGCCTTCAGGTCGTTTACCACCACCTGCACCGTCCACTTACGATCCGGAGCATTTTTACGCCAAACGCACCCTAGGAATCTTTGTAGGAATCTTTCCCAAGCTATCGGGTAAATACTCGTTTACGTATTTCCCAAAGTTTATTCCTCGATCGAGAATCTACGCGTATTTAAAATTTTCGATAGTAGCGAAAATTGCATATCTGAGCGGAAATATTAAAGAGATTGGCCAGTTTCACGCTCGTACCAAAAAATTGCGGTGCAATCTTCGAAATGCCTGTGGTTGCATACGCTTGACGAGAAAATTGCACGGCTATGAACCGAGCGAAATTTCTAGACTTCATATTTAATAGCGAGGCTAGCCGTCTGAGACTATTTGGAAGTCTAAACCGGTCATAATTTATAAGTACAGTTAACCAAATAGCCGTAGAAGGTCAATGAACCCGCACGGTGTGTATCGTGTGAACACGCCACTTCTCACAAAGTAGAGAGTCACTGCGAAGCTGGCTAAAACGAACGGCGTCGGTGTTGTACACACATGCAGGGGTAAATTAAAATCGCGTTAGAAAATGATTTAGAACGACCGCCGGCGTAAATTCAGCTGAACACAATCGACACGTCCGACGTGACACTGTTACCGATACCATTTTCCACCGTGGTTATTCGTAACGAACTTCGCGTTGGCTTAATTAACGAGGAGAGGAGATGGAAAGAAAGCGGAGGACACAATGGAAGGCGGTAGATCCGAATGTAAATGGGTTGATTTGAAATTCTGAGAGGGGAATTCGGTACGAACGGGGATATCGGATCGTTTGTTTGGCGGATCGTGTGCATTATTCTTCCGCTTCGCGACATGCATTCGCGAATTAAGCCAAGCGAAATATTCATAGTGGCTCCCAGACGTAACGGTTCGCGCGACCGTGCTAAAATAGGACACCGAGTAGATTAGAATTCACGGGATGATTTTTCCCGCGTCTGGGGCTGCCATTTGTGGTCTGGTCGGAAGTCAATGGCGGAGACGTGACTCGATGAGATAATACGGGAGCAAGAAAGGAATTTCCTTTTTTATTCATCAGCTGGCTCTATCGGGGGAGTGCTGACCCCACGATCGATGGCTTTCTAGAATTTAAATTGGGCAAACATCTGTTGATATTTAAAAATAAACCGCATAAATGAATACTCGATTTCGAAACTGTTCCGTTTCGTCGCTCCGACAACGCAACGGACGGCCATTAGGGACGAGACAGAAAAAATTTGTCTGTATCGATAGATCGACTAGTAAAGCGAAATTTCCACGGCTTAACGAACGCATAACGAGCACACGCGAATGGATTTACAGCTCAAAGGATCACGACGATCCAGCTGGACGGCGTGCAATACTTCGTGTCAAGGATGAATCCCTACAGTCCCGAACTGAACTACTTCCTGGCCTACCAGTACTGCCGTTCCCTGGGCCTGCAGTTGGCCTCTTTCGAGACAAAGGAAAAAGCTGACACGATGACGCAGTACTTGAAGAACGCCGGCTACGTGAAATACGACTTCTGGACATCCGGCAACAAGTTGGGCACGGACATGTTCCTGTGGATGAGCACAGGTCTTCCCTTCAATGCCACCTTCGACTACATGTTGAGGCGACCTGGCAACAGACCTGCTGACGTCCCACCCGGCACTGAGCCTCAACGAGTGGCACGCGAAAGGTAACGATTAACATGCTAATGAAAATTCGCCGGTAGTCATGGACGAGCCGAAGAAATCGGGAAACCTTGCCCCGCGAGATAGACGGCTTAACTCGTAAACCCCTGGTTAGAAAATCTCATCGGAACCGGAAATCACGCAGACGATAGTCTACACGCGCGTAGAAAGAGGCACTCGTCACGTATTTGTCTAGGCAAAGTAGACAAATAGAAGCATCGCGGAGCCTCTTCTGCGTCAGCGAAGAAGACAATAGGTCGAAGATCGAGTGATCGTCACGAACGATAATTATCGATGTCCCTTCCGCGCTGCGTGCATGCGTCTCCTCCCGGAAACGCGTGCAACGAATCGGTAAACAGGTGCCGGGTGATTTAAATTCTAATCCGGAACTTGTTGGTTCCAGCGGCGACAGCGGCAGCGCGGACGGATGCGTCGCGATGGTGGCGCCCACGTTAGCCTGGGAGGCGCAGGACTGCACTCTGGTTAAGGACTTCATCTGCGAGCAGACAAGATGCTACTACTACAACTACGGCAGCATTCCAGTCTCTGCGACTCAGGGGTAAGAGGTGAGATAATACTTGTCACAAAAATACACGAAACCGCCGAGAAAGAGAGAGAGAAAGTGAGAGAGAGGGAGAGAAAGAGATAGGCAGATAGGCTATCAGAGGATTTCAACGCGTATCAAGGTGAATCTCGATGGCGCACGGACAAAAAAATAGAAAACGGTAGAATGACCGATAAGATACCCGATGGGTAGAGACACGATGATAATTGGCAAGGCACGGTTCACGCGTACCTCTCGTTACCATGTGTGCATACATACGCCGCAGGTAGGCACCTTCAAGGACCAAGGGATTTTTCAAACCGCGCCAACGATTCTATAAAATGCCGAGGTTTCTTCGTATGCAAATTAACGGGTTGAACGTTCCGATACAAGACCTCTCTGCCTCGTACGTTAATTAAATCGGCGGTTGTAGGAGCCAGCGAGTCCACGGACTAACGGACTGGCAAGTTTTTTTCTCCGTGCAGTTATACGACTTAACGAAACGAATTGATAAATAACGCTTCAATGAATAACGTAGCCTGAATAAGTAAAATAGATGGTACTTGGGAAACTGTACGACGTCTTTTGCTGTCGTTCGGACGAATACTGCTTACCACTCGTGACGTCTCGCGTCACGAACACGAGGACACGGCTTACAATTAATAACGCATTCTCTCGCTTCTCGCAAACACACACAAACACACAGGCACACACGATCATACGAGCACGCTCATATCGCAGAGACATCGTACACAGTCGTGCACACGACACACGCGCGTGTACACGCGCCATTGTGAAAAAGCGTGGACACTACTGGTCGTCAGAGACAGATACGATTTCAATTTCGATTTTATCGTAGACGTACTAATACTAAAATTACGCTAAGCTAGTAGTGGCACCAGACTTTTTCCTCTCCATGCTTCCCAATATCGTCTAATACCGACTAAAATCGCTAACACACGACACAGGGAACACGAGGAATAACGGTGACAATTTTCCACTCCGAATAACAACCTTCTCCGAATCTATCGCTTCGTCCTCGACCTCGAGGCGACAATGTTCCCCTGAAACCACTGCGCGATTTGCAGAAATCGCAGACCCTACATAACAACCACCTCGGCGCCAGCCAGCGACGACCAGGTCGACGAGCACGAGGAAAGTAACGCCAGCAAGAACGACGAACAGGATGAGAGCGAGATCGACGAGAAGTCAACACCGGAAGAGGAGAGCTCCGTCGACGAGAAATTACCTGAAGACCCGGTCGTCAGCAGGCTGATTACCACGGCCGTTCCCGCGTCTGACAAGCAACAGCAATCCGTTCTAACACCGTCCACGCCTTCGCCAGTCGTCACCGAGGATCACGAGCAACCGACCAACTCGGAGCTGGACAACACCAGACCAGATCACCTTCCCGACATCGCGAGCCTCTTCACCGACACCCCGGGTCCTCAGGCCAGAAAGGACAACGTGTTCGAGGGCCTGCAAACTCGCGAGGTACATCGTTCCTCTCTGCGCTCGGCCTCCGACATGAAGGTCGAGCATCGGGAGTCACCGGACTACGTCGAGATCCACGGTGAGACCGAGTCGCCCAACAACGGACTCGAAGACGCTCACACGGTCGGTCCTTATGACAGCGCTCAGGATTACTACGTGAACGACCAACCAGAGGCGGGTGAGTCGTCGATGATGAAGGATCAGGACGACGACAATAGCACGATCCTGCCAGAGGCGGAACCGGCCTACAGGTACAACATCAAAGTGCGCACCAACGGCAAAGTATTAGATCCTCCGTCCAAGTAACGCTTTACAGTTTAGGCATCGTCGCGTTATTCGTTGATAAGTGAAGAGCATTGGGAGATTCTCGAGGAACTAGATGTATTAATGTACGTTATTTTATGTGTATACCGCGAACATGAGACACGCGCGCGTGCGTGCGTGCGAGCGACCCCATCGCGATCAAGATGGCGTCGTTCGTCGCTATTCATCGCTCATTCATTCGTTCTGATTTCAATGAAATTCCCGGTAGTGCTCGTCGGATTCTTTCACGCCGTTCACGATCGTCGGGGCTTCCGGTCGGCAGAAGGAAGACGTTCGAGATCAGGCCTCTCGTCTCGATACCTCGATACAGATGTCGCTAGAGTCGTCGCCAACGGGAACGTACGAACACGCTTCGACGTTGAACCGTATAGAAATTATTCGAACGATTTGCTCAAAGTATAATGGTAAACAATGGAAACCAAGTCCTTTCCTTCTGGCATCGATCTCCGACGATAGCCGACGTCGTTCTCGCAAGGGCATTCACTCCATCATTCAATTCGATCCTTAATCGCACCACGGTGGCACCGGCGGACACACACTGTCATCCGCGTCACAGATCGCTCGATTTTTCTCTGTCTTCCTCGATCGTTTATGTTTCTTTCTTTTTTTTTTTTTTTACCCCTTTCCTTTCTCGTCGAAGCACGTATCGTTTAACGCTATCGATTCGTAGATGGTAGATGATAGTATCGCGAGGACTCATCTGCGTGGGATCTCAGGCATTAAGCTAGCGAGCTGGAGGAAATGGCACTACGTTGTCATTGAACTACGTTATCATTGTTCTTATGGCTAACTGAATCATCATCGGTGTAGGGTCGGGAGTCCGCCAGTGCCACGAATTTTCATGCATATCGAAGTATAATCATCCTAGTTTACGTTACTTCGTACGTCTGCAAGATGAAACGTTTCGTAGCCGATCGATTTAGGCCCCGATTCTCCTTGCTGTCTGTTCAAACGTGAACGTTCGAACGGCAGAGCAGTGGATTCTGGGTATCGAAGGATGCCAGATGGAAGGAGGTTACTGTTACGAGGAACACGCAGGAATCGCAACGTTTCGGTCATCCAGACGTATGAGAATCGGCATACGCGTAGATCAACGTCGCGAAATGATTTCTTAACTTCTACGATAGGTCATCGTCACATGGATCTTGAATATCATTGCGTAAACACGGCGCGAATGTGCAACTTGTGTAATTGAATATTAATAAAGGTACGAAACACACATTTGCGTTATCGAGTCCGATCTTTTGTCATCCTTCAATGTACCATTTTAGATCTCACTTACCAACCGTTCACCACACCCTCGATGTTCAGCATAGGCACGATTTTGAATACGTAATCGTCTCGCAGGCCAGCTGCATACGCGTTGTTGCCCAATAACGCTTCCAGAGTGCCATCCATCACCCACGAGGCGTTGCTTTCACCCGGATGAACTCGAGACGTCAGGAATATCACCTTGCGATTCTGGAAAACGTGGAAACGCCTTTCCCGATCATTCCGTTCGCGTTCCGAATAAAATCAGCCACGAATTTCCCGTGTATATCCCTGCAAGCTGGTCCCCCGTCGACTCACCTGTATAGGATTGCTCTTAGAATCCATGGACGTGATAGTCAGCAGAGGATTGTCATTGCCGTTCAACGTCTCGCAGAGTGTCTCGGCTTTGAAGTACGTATTCGGAGGAACCGTTCTGGTCCACTTCCAGATGTTGGTCATTAACAGGCTGTACGTGTAAGGGAAATGGTAAGCCAGGTAGCAGACGTCGTACGCGTGGGGAAAGGTGACCGTGAACGAGGTGGTGAGGTAATTCTTCCCCTTGGCCGGTCGCTGATAACAGTTTCGATAGTAACAGATGTCAGCGCCTGTCCTCACCCAACCCGGCCTGCCCAGCTGAGCTTCCGTCACGCTGTAGAGAATCGGTTTCATGCCAAAGTTGAACTGCGAGTTTGCTTTCTCGCAGTTGACGATGTTGAACGTGTAGGCGAGGTTCGCCTCCATGTTCGACACCTCGAAGTAGAACCACTGGTGCCTGGAGCCGCTGTTCACGTCCGGCGTCAGGATCAGATCGTACTCTCTCAGGCCTATCTGCAAGGAAGCGGATTGGAAAGAAATGATGCAGACATGCCGCGAAACGGGAACTCACGGAAGCATATCCATTGTTCGGTAAATTAACGAGGCTATAAGCAGCGTGAAATATTCATTGAGTTGTACCTGAATAACTTTCCTCAGGTTCCCGCTCTCGAATCTGGACTCGAAGCGCAACTGCTTGTCGTCGGAACAGCGTTTGCCTATTCTCTTCTCATCCCAGTTGCATAAATGATCGTCGATGGGAATCAGTTCTTCCGCGATGGTGTTATTAGATGCAACAGCGTCGAGATCGTACACCACTTCCTGCGCCATCGAGCTACCGTGAAGACCCCGTTCCACGCACGTGAGAAGCTTCGCTCGGCAGACCTTCCTGTCCTTGCTATTCAAAGGTTCATCCTTCCCCAGACCATCGCCACCGACTAGATCCGGGTAAGCCACCTTCGCGAAGCCAATTACGCTTTTCACTCTGCTCGCTATCACGCAATAGGCCTGTTGATCCGTCAGGCTGGACGACACGTTGTTGAAGATCTTGATCGTGGCGTCGTTGTTCGTAGCGTGGTTCTTAGTCGCTCCTTCTTTCGTCGAATCCTTCGAGAACATTTTCGATTTGCTGCCCCCTCTGGTGCATCGAGAATTCTGTTTATCTTCCTCCGCGGAGTCGACTATGTCGATCAACTTCTCCGCGGAAGATCTCGCGACACAGACTTGCTGCTGTAGATTGCCCAATTCCTTGAAGAACACGCCGTACCTAAACAATCAAAGGACTCGTTTAATTAAGAGAACGCTAGTCTCGTGGAATTTCTCTCGGGCGCATCATCGACATACTCGGCCAGGTCCTCCTCCGACCTTTGAGACGTGAACACGCCAGCGAAGAACTTGCTCTCGTCCACTTCGTCCGCTGTGCTCATAGATTTCGCGTTCGTCCTTGAATTCTGATTTTCTTCTTCGTCTCCGGAATCAAGGTCGCTGTACAGCCTTCCCAGAGACGCCACGCTGTATGCCTGCGCGAAGACATTTTGCTCTCGGGTTAACAGGCGCTCGTTAACGATTTCTCGGCTAACATTTCACCCGAGAAATTTCCCCGGAAAGACTTGCCGCGTCACCGTGCAATTATACAATGTTTTACGACACCGAGCAAACGCTCGACGCGTTACGTCTCACCCGTTACATCATTCTGTCCGACGAAAATACGCACCTGACTGTCGATGTCGCTGCCACTCTCGGCGCTGCTAGGCCTGACGTTCGCTTCGGGCAGCACGAATCTGTAGCAGAATTCGAGGAGGATTTAGCTATTCGCAACAATGATTGCTACCTAAAGCGACACACGGTTTGACGCGTTACTAAACATTCGACTGGAGAAACCCTCGTCGGTAGCTAACGAGTCGACTCTAGGTCAAGACAATTAAGAAGTTTAGAAATTTGGACCGGTTTAGGAGGTTTCAAGATCGCGATTTTTACGACAGTTTCGCTGTAATGGCGTCAGTTGGATGGACAGTTATAGCACGATTTATCGGTGATAAACCGCGGTTGCAAGATCCGATCGGGGTTTGGATCTGGCGTTGATCGATTTGGAGCGACCTTGAATGTTTCGTTCACCTTGCCGGAGACATTTCGGGCACCGGCAGCTCTTTCTTCTCCAGACATTGATTGATTATCCCGCATATACGCGACAGCAACGAATCGTATGCCTTATCCTCCGGACAGTTGCTGCAGAACCGGTACAGTAGTTGCAGGCCATTGTTCAGCTTGATAGCCTTCCTGCCGGCTTCTGAAACAGGCAAAAAGGAGTCCCAACGTGTAATGGCGACATAAAACCACCGCCGGTGGATATAACGTGGACATAAATTTACATACCCGATGTTTGTTCTGTAAGAAATGGGTATACATCGTAAAGAACGATTACTGGAGTCGTTCAGGGTCCTATTCGACTAGTGGGCAACTAACCGGTTAAAAAATAATTAGGAAAGAAAAAGCAACGAACGTGGATAAAATTTAATCCGCTTCTCTTTTAGAACGATCGGTTGGGACGAGATGCTACCGACGCGGCCAGATGCGCATAGCCATACTCCGCAGAAGCAACTTCCGGCCGGGTATCGTAATTCGCCGCGCTTAAAGGTCGACGCGAATAAACTCACTTATGACGCATAAGTGCTGCAGCGTGATCAGAGCGCAGTTGCAAATCTTCAGTCTCATCGGCCCGTCGAATCGTTCCCATCTCTCGAAGATCCTCATCAGCAGATGCACTAGGCCCACCTTCACGAATTTCGTGCAACAAAGTTCTGCAAACAAAACACATTCGCGTAAGTTGTATACCGGCTAATTGCCAAAGTTCAATTCACCGATACCATCAGCCCCCGCGTCGCTGACGATAAACGAAAATAGTCTACGTACTGCTGGTTGTGAAATATTTGAAGCACTCTAACAACGATCTGAGTTTCAGGTGCGGTATGTAACCGACGCAAACGAACGTTTTCTCCAACGTGCTGGCGATCCCGTCCTTCACCAATACTTGAAGAGAAAATGCTGAAAACGAGCGTTTTAAATAGGCATGACACGAAACGACGTGGAAATAGGAAAGACGCGATGCGATGGTGCTGTCCAAACGCGTGTACTCACAGTTCCTGGCCAGATGCGTGGTTCTTAGTCGCTCCTTCTTTCGTCGAATCCTTCGAGAACATTTTCGATTTGCTGCCCCCTCTGGTGCATCGAGAATTCTGTTTATCTTCCTCCGCGGAGTCGACTATGTCGATCAACTTCTCCGCGGAAGATCTCGCGACACAGACTTGCTGCTGTAGATTGCCCAATTCCTTGAAGAACACGCCGTACCTAAACAATCAAAGGACTCGTTTAATTAAGAGAACGCTAGTCTCGTGGAATTTCTCTCGGGCGCATCATCGACATACTCGGCCAGGTCCTCCTCCGACCTTTGAGACGTGAACACGCCAGCGAAGAACTTGCTCTCGTCCACTTCGTCCGCTGTGCTCATAGATTTCGCGTTCGTCCTTGAATTCTGATTTTCTTCTTCGTCTCCGGAATCAAGGTCGCTGTACAGCCTTCCCAGAGACGCCACGCTGTATGCCTGCGCGAAGACATTTTGCTCTCGGGTTAACAGGCGCTCGTTAACGATTTCTCGGCTAACATTTCACCCGAGAAATTTCCCCGGAAAGACTTGCCGCGTCACCGTGCAATTATACAATGTTTTACGACACCGAGCAAACGCTCGACGCGTTACGTCTCACCCGTTACATCATTCTGTCCGACGAAAATACGCACCTGACTGTCGATGTCGCTGCCACTCTCGGCGCTGCTAGGCCTGACGTTCGCTTCGGGCAGCACGAATCTGTAGCAGAATTCGAGGAGGATTTAGCTATTCGCAACAATGATTGCTACCTAAAGCGACACACGGTTTGACGCGTTACTAAACATTCGACTGGAGAAACCCTCGTCGGTAGCTAACGAGTCGACTCTAGGTCAAGACAATTAAGAAGTTTAGAAATTTGGACCGGTTTAGGAGGTTTCAAGATCGCGATTTTTACGACAGTTTCGCTGTAATGGCGTCAGTTGGATGGACAGTTATAGCACGATTTATCGGTGATAAACCGCGGTTGCAAGATCCGATCGGGGTTTGGATCTGGCGTTGATCGATTTGGAGCGACCTTGAATGTTTCGTTCACCTTGCCGGAGACATTTCGGGCACCGGCAGCTCTTTCTTCTCCAGACATTGATTGATTATCCCGCATATACGCGACAGCAACGAATCGTATGCCTTATCCTCCGGACAGTTGCTGCAGAACCGGTACAGTAGTTGCAGGCCATTGTTCAGCTTGATAGCCTTCCTGCCGGCTTCTGAAACAGGCAAAAAGGAGTCCCAACGTGTAATGGCGACATAAAACCACCGCCGGTGGATATAACGTGGACATAAATTTACATACCCGATGTTTGTTCTGTAAGAAATGGGTATACATCGTAAAGAACGATTACTGGAGTCGTTCAGGGTCCTATTCGACTAGTGGGCAACTAACCGGTTAAAAAATAATTAGGAAAGAAAAAGCAACGAACGTGGATAAAATTTAATCCGCTTCTCTTTTAGAACGATCGGTTGGGACGAGATGCTACCGACGCGGCCAGATGCGCATAGCCATACTCCGCAGAAGCAACTTCCGGCCGGGTATCGTAATTCGCCGCGCTTAAAGGTCGACGCGAATAAACTCACTTATGACGCATAAGTGCTGCAGCGTGATCAGAGCGCAGTTGCAAATCTTCAGTCTCATCGGCCCGTCGAATCGTTCCCATCTCTCGAAGATCCTCATCAGCAGATGCACTAGGCCCACCTTCACGAATTTCGTGCAACAAAGTTCTGCAAACAAAACACATTCGCGTAAGTTGTATACCGGCTAATTGCCAAAGTTCAATTCACCGATACCATCAGCCCCCGCGTCGCTGACGATAAACGAAAATAGTCTACGTACTGCTGGTTGTGAAATATTTGAAGCACTCTAACAACGATCTGAGTTTCAGGTGCGGTATGTAACCGACGCAAACGAACGTTTTCTCCAACGTGCTGGCGATCCCGTCCTTCACCAATACTTGAAGAGAAAATGCTGAAAACGAGCGTTTTAAATAGGCATGACACGAAACGACGTGGAAATAGGAAAGACGCGATGCGATGGTGCTGTCCAAACGCGTGTACTCACAGTTCCTGGCCAGACATTTGACGATCAACAGCAAAGGCAGCAACGTTTTACTGTTGTTGTAATGTTGCTTGAGAAGAGTATGGAACACTTTTACGGTATTAAGCGTCTTCATCTTTGACACGAACTTTTGGTCCCTTTGGGCAACCTAGAATTTCCATGAAAGATACTGACAGACACGAACGAACGTGGATGAAGAAGAATGATGTCTTACCTGGCCCAAAAGCCAAAGCACCTCCTGCGTGAGGACTTCGCTGGAAATAGTGTCCGCGTGTTGCAGGCTAACTAAAAGCTTAACTAGAACTTGCGTGATTCCTAAATTGATCAGCTGCATCACTGCCATTCGGCTACTGGATCCTGCAAATGACAGCCAATTATCGTTTCAATTAACCGTACACTTGCCATGGCAATTACGCGATCGATCAGCCTCTCGATCGCTGCACGACCTCTAACGAGCTGAGCCAGTAGGTTCTTTCATTGGCAATGACACTAACTTGTCGAAAGCTAGAAATTGCTATTACTTGTGGCACTTTTGTTCTTGTTCCCTTTGGTCTTCCCTTTCGCCGCACGGGGCGAAATGCATTCGTGTAGTATGCTGGCGATGCTGCAGTTTATCGCGTGATCCTTGCAATTCTGCAACAAACGGATTCGCCGAGATAAATTCCTCCACGATCTACGGCTGACGCACATCGAATCGCGTCGCGGTGGAAGGCGTCCCGACGAACGATCGAGAGATATTCGACGCGCGCGAAAGGCCACGGGGATAATTATTCCGGTGCTGCGTGCGTGCAACACTTAACAGAAAATGGAACGAACGGATTTCCAGTTTTGCATGCCGCAGGAAGCCTCGTCGACAAGACAGACAATGGGGACCGAGCCGGCTGATGCGACCTAGCCACGCCATTCCGTGCAAAATGTTAATCGCGACACGGCTATCCGCACGCTTAATTGGATCCACAAAGCGTCGATTAAATGTCTGGCTTCGTAAAAGCCACGACTTTTAGTCACGGCTCTCGAAAATCGCGAAATTGCGAGCCATCGTTAACGCCATCCACCCGCGATGCAAATGGTCGACTCTGACAAGAGAATCGGTAAAGTCGATGCAAAATAGAGTCTTGATCGAATGGTCACCCACCTCCAGCGTCGCGATGAATATCTCCATCGCACCGGAATTCTTCCGCCATAGTTTCTCCAGCGTTCGCTCGCGCACCCGTCGATCTGAAACACATTCGTTTCTTCGTTCTTTGTTAAGCTAATGGAAATTCGAATTACACAGTTATCGAATTTTATCGTCGAATTTCGTTACAACAGCGCTGTCGACCCCTTGGCCTACGCGATAAGTCCCAATAAACGATCAATGGGGATCATTATCACAAGGATCTACCAAATTACTATCAGCAATAAAAGCACACTTCTCACTGCTGTCATCGATATTGGATTTTCCTTTTAACGACATGACAGGTATAAGGGTTGTTCTTTAATTACTCTAAACGCGCTATTGTAACGAAGAATCTCGCGTAACTATAGTAAGAAGATATCGAGGGCAATCTAATCGAGGGTCTGATTGTTTACGTTCGGCCCGATCTAAGAACCAGGAGCCAGACTCGTGTTTATTGTCTCTGGCCCGAATTTCTTAGTCTCGCGCGATATTGTAGGTTAAGGGGTTAATTGGATCCGCGTCGAAGCGACAACAAAGTACCGTGTGGTATCTGTTGGACGAATGAATGTAGTCGGTACCAAAGTCTATACGTCTCTGTCTTAATGAATAATCAGAGGAACAGGTGCGGTGACACCGTCCTCCATGCGATACCAGGCATACTGTGCATTGGCAAAATGCGTGGCTTCCATTTCAGACTTGACACAAGGCCAATCGCGCCCAATGCCATGAACACTGTCCACTAAAGTCTGGACAGTGATATTCGACGCCAAGAAACCTGCTTAACAAACTGCTCGATGCTACCGCGACGTCTTGGAATGATCGACCGTTCTCGAAAATTTAAGGTCACGAAAATTGAGCAATCTAGGATCATGCATCGCGACTGACACTGCCTAAATATCTCTAATATCCTGCTGCAACTAAAATTACGAGTTCTGCGTTCGCATAGTCTCGCAATAATGTACTACGCGTAAAACGGGCCCGAGCGTTTGGAAAAAAGGTCAGTTGACAGCGAGCCAGCTGAAAGAGCCTGAGCAAATCAACCTGCAGTCAGGCACAAACACGAAAGTCTCCTCGGTATTTGCTTCTCGACTCGAAAAACACCATCGTTGCGATTCAACGAGTAATCGGAATTTATTACGAGATGACAATGACAGGGAAGCTCTTTACCGATAGCTGAGACTCTCGTTACACCGGCCAAGCGCTGACTCGGTGCAACGATACTTGCACCCTGGGCTCCCGAACGTATCGACCAACGAGACAAAGAGTCCTTATCAAATTGGCACGACCGCGATTCACTTGGAGACGATCTAACGTTGTATCGGCTTCTCTGGCCCCTGTCCAAACTATCTGTCAGCATTAACGAAAACTCTTATGTAACGGCGCGGTATAGTCGGCTTGTCGAAAATAAGGCCTGACGAGCAGCGAGCCCCTCCATCGGCACACCTGTTCGCCGGTCCCTAGAACCACCGTTCGCGGCCATTCGAGCTGTCATGAACGGTCGTTCTTGACACCATGCGTCATTTTCCCGCGTGGATCGCGTGTGATCGGCACTCGCACGGGTGAAACTAGGTCTAAATTCGAACGCAGCGTTGATCGTTTCGATAACTCCATAGCGTACGTGGGAACACTATCGCGAACGCGATGTGCTTATCCGGAATACATCTCGGAAACAGTTTAAATCGCTTTTTCTTGGTCGCTTTTCCGCTTGGTCGCTCCGTTTTCTCTTTCTCTTCGTTTCCAAAGTAGAAAGATCTAAAGCAAAGCACGCGGGAACGTACGTAGTACATAGAGGAAGGCAGACGTGTTCGAGAGTGACCTGAATTCGAGTCGGACGGGATTTTTTCGCTCGAAATTACACGCGATAGTGTTTTCTCATGCGCCACGCTGCTATTCGGCTATTTTTCGGCACGAAAGTTCGTGCGAGCAGGAATTAACGTGACTAGGGTAGGCGACGTGAAACGTAATCGAGAGAATTCGAGGGAACGTGTGGAGTGTTGCCGACTGCTGACGAAGGGGTGGCCGTGCAAGCACCCCGACACGGTAGGAATAATAAATTGTGCAAGTTTCTGGTGATTAGCCCGATGAAATAGAAGCCAACGTTCGCGGTAAAAATAGCAATTTACCGGCACGAGCCCCCGTCTTAAAGTGTCCAATCTGTTTCGAGTCGTTTAAAACTTTGCTGCCGCATTCGAAACTCGTTCCCCGGCGATCGTTCGCGTTTAAAACGGATACCGAGTAAAACGAGAAACTGGTTTACCAGTGAAACGTATCCGTTTCAAAATTCCGCTGTAAAAAGCGAGAAAAAAGGGAACAAAAAGCCAGAAACTGAAAGAAACCACGAAACTTTCCTGTTCTCGTGTTGTTTGGACGTGTCAGGCGTGTCAATAACGCGAAGCTGCGATATCCGCGAAAGTCCGCGGACGTTTCATAAATTCGCGAGAGCAGGAAGTAGCAAAGGGTACGTAAAGGTGGTTACCTGAGGACGTAACACGAGCATGAATCTTAGCTGCGATGTGCCTGAACGTATCGGCCTCCTGCGGCTTGGACACGCAGTTTCGGAGCTTCTCCAGCAACACATCGTTCATAGCGTCGTCCGCGGTTTTGGTGCTCGGTGACATCGCGCTAGACCACAAACCCGGCAATCAAAGCTCAATTATCCGTCAGACTAGAGGAGCTACGAGCGTGAAAGGATTTCAAGTCAAACAGCACGCTTTATCTTGGCAAACCGGTGTCGAACATGCAATCTCGAGCCACGAAAATGCTACGCATAACGAAGGGGGAGTTGCACACGGTTTGAGCAGAATAATACACATCTTGTCAACACTTTCGTTCAGGGGAGGAAAATATTTGAATGCAAGACCGATTATTTTCGACGAAGAAATCTTCGCGAATTCGTTATGTCTCGATTGATGGTGAATAAAATCAAAGTTCCTTGCGTTCTTGCATCCACGAGGGGGATCAGAACTCATGCAGATCTCGCCCACCCTTTCGTTCGGGGGAAGAAAATTTTTGAAAGCATAACCGATTATTTTCGATGGAGAAATCTTCGCGAATTCGTTATGTCTCGATTGATGGTGAATAAAATCAAAGTTCCTTGCGTTCTTGCATCCACGAGGGGGGTTAGAACTCATGCAGATCTCGCCCACCCTTTCGTCGGGGGAAGAAAATATTTGAAAGCATAACCGATTATTTTCGATGGAGAAATCTTCGCGAATTCGTCGTGTCTCGATGGATGGGGAATAAAATCAAAGTTCCTTGCGTTCTTGCATCCACGAGGGGGATTAGAACTCATGCAGATGTCGCCCACCCTTTCGTTCGGGGGAAGAAAATATTTGAGAGCATAACCGATTATTTTCGATGGAGAAATCTTCGCGAATTCGTTATGTCTCGATTGATGGTGAATAAAATTAAAGTTTCTCGCGTTCTTGCATCCACGAGGGGGGTTAGAACTCATGCAGATCTCGCCCACCATTTCGTCGGGGGAAGAAAATATTTGAAAGCATAACCGATTATTTTCGATGGAGAAATCTTCGCGAATTCGTTATGTCTCGATTGATGGTGAATAAAATTAAAGTTTCTCGCGTTCTTGCATCCACGAGGGGGGTTAGAACTCATGCAGATCTCGCCCACCATTTCGTCGGGGGAAGAAAATATTTGAAAGCATAACCGATTATTTTCGATGGAGAAATCTTCGCGAATTCGTTATGTCTCGATTGATGGTGAATAAAATTAAAGTTTCTCGCGTTCTTGCATCCACGAGGGGGGTTAGAACTCATGGTCACCCCCGTACTTAACCGAAGGAGCCCGGCAACTCGTCCTACTGGCCTCCACGAGCAAAGTCCTGCCAATATTTGTCATATAAAAATAGAAGAATCGAGGATTCCTTTCTCGTAGAATCTGGCTGGAACTTTTCCTCGTACGAGGTCAGTCGAGACGACTGGTTTCGTGATTTCCGAAATATTCTCGCGGTTGTCGAACGCGCAATCGGATAAAGATTAACGATGACGCTTATCGAGATAGAAACGTAATTTTATCTAAGTATCTGTATTATATTTAGATGACTGTTACGAGTAGGTAGCTCTAGCGTTATAAAGAAGCAAGGAAAGAGGAGTAAGGAAGCCAGTATCATTCACGATATCATCAATCGACTGTCCATTGGCGTCGCGCCAATTTCCCATGCGTAATGCGCATTAATCTCCTTTCACGTTCAGCTGGTCGCTATGTTGTTAGCCAATGTCGCAGAAATGAAAATCGAACGTCGGAAAGCGTCGCCTCGCGTTCAAGGTTAATTAACACGAGCGAATAACAAACGATGCTCGAAATAAACCGCGTGGATCACGTTTTCACCGTGATCCTCGCGATCCAACGAGGTCGTTAGCGATGTCATTGCATTTCCTCGCCGAGGTTCCACGATAGCTTCGACGCCATCGGCTCTTTTCTTCTTCTCTTCTCTTTAAACCTTCCACCTTCCGGAATTGCGGACGCCGCAGTTTCTCGAATCAATCGTTTATGGTCGCTGTGAGATAGCATCACAGCTATAGGGTAGCGAATTTAAATCGATCGATAGCGTGGAATTCTGAAGAAGGCACGTCGAAGATATCGTAGACCCAGCGAGATTTTCGTCACTCCATTTGCGATAAAAGCTGCGATAAAAGCTACGATAAAAGTGCAGGTGACGTATTTGACAGCCGCGATTGCAATTGGACGACAAATTAATTCAAACCACCTGCACCTTTCTTCCCACGTTCCAGAAGCACATTACAGAACGCGATTAGACTCCCAAGATTGATCAGCTGTCATCGTCATCCACAATTTCCCCAACGCGTTTATTTATCTGGACGGAATCGCACAGCTGCCCGTGCCAACGCGAATTTTGCAATTGTTTTTGCAACTGTCCTCGAGAGTCCAGCCAAACGACACGACCAGTCGCATTCCACGGCATCGTTTAGGTATCGCTTCTATCGAGCATGCACCCCGTCTCCTACTTCAACGAAGAGGATCCTGCTCGCGTGACCAGTGGCTCTGAACTTTTCTCTTTCCCGAGAATAGCTGAGACCCAGTCTGACCACCGTGCGACCAGATAGCGTGACATGTGCGTGAAAGAAAAGAAGCGTGCTCGCATGGAAGCAGCTCGAAATGTGCGTTCAGAACGGGGACCGGAAACCTGACGCAGAGCGACGAGCACACGCACGAGACGCGGGGACAGGCGTTTTTGTTAGTGTGGCGGTTTTTACTCTTCGTCCTGAGCATCCTGCGCGTTTCCCTCGGCCTCGGGTCCCGCCTCCATCGGCCGCAGGTTCTCCTTGTCGCACTTATCCAACGCACTTTTCATTTCTTCCTCCGTGTCCCTTCGCGCGAATCTCCGCGGCCTTTACGCTCCCCCTAATCGGAGAAAACAGGAAAAGAGTGGTCGAGACGCGACACGAGAACCAGCTGCTTCGCTTTATCGATGAAAACCACCCGAATCTTAGTCCGTCATTGAAACGTCAGACACGTTTTCACGTCAGACCGCGTTTCATCCCGTCCGTCCACGAGCCTCTTGTCCCGCTCTGCGGAAGAACAATGGTGGCGCACGAATGATCTATCGAGATGATGATCACACGGAGTCACATCTCGTTCCCGGGGATCTCGCGCGATTTGGACCGGGACGGATATTGCTGAAAGCAACGAGGATTTCGGCCAGTATTTTCCGCGAATTTCGCGAAACGATCCACGCGCTTTGCCACTCCGAGGCGGTTTGACGTTTCGCGCTGCCAAAACTATGTTTAAAAGCATAGCACGCACGCACGAGGCGCCTCTATTTATAGTGACGGCCGCTTTCCGAAAACCGCGCCCCTTTTCTCATATTTTCGATACCACCCTCGCTCGATCGCCACCCTCGATCATTAATCCGCGCCACGCGAGCCTCGTCCAGTCTCCTATAGTCTCGGCAGACTATACGATCAGGTGTACGTTACCTTATCCGCGTGACACATTTGTACACAGTCATTAGAATTAATCGACGACGAAATCTTTTCGATTTTCCTTCACTTTCTCACTGTTCAACGGGGGTTCCATTGTTCACTACACTTTCATGCGTGCACTGTACTCCGCGGAAGATTAAATCGTGGTTAAAGTATCACGGTTAAATTATCGGCCACTCTGCTGCGTAAATCGAAGACAGGAATTTTTTCCCCAGATTTCTCAACGTCGCTGTAAATCATTTTATAGCGAGAATTATTTCGACAGCGGCAAATTTCAGCGAGCGTAGAGCGCGCGAAAAGATAGCTCAAAGGTGACGATGAAAGATGGAAGAAACGGAACCGGCTTGCCAAAAGGTGGAAAACGTTCTCGCGACGTCCCATCGGTGTTTTGCGAGAAGAGCTCATTAGTATATCGAAACGTGGGACGGTAAATTATGGCAAACAGGTGAGCAGGTTCCCCCTCTCTCGAGTGTTTACACCGTGTAAATAGGGAATAACGATACAAGGAAACCTTCGAGAGCGACATGGAGGATTCTTAAATAAATCCGCACAAGTTACGACGGAGGCACCAAAAATAATTATGAACGCGATTTCGTGGAAGCATCGTCCGACGAAGACAACGAAATTCCATGTTCGATGGACACATCTACGCGCGTATCTCCGATACGCGAAATTTCGCTCGGGTTGAAGTCCGTGGAAATGAAAATAATCGTATCACTTGGAACTATTCGGCTGAATAAAGAACGCAGGAAACCGAGTGCGATATGGTAGCTCGAAAAACCAGAATAATCTCCGACTTCCTTCACCTAACCCTCCAGACGTGCTTCCCAGACGTACTTTCCAGAAAGAAATTTATCCTTTCGGAGACCTCTGGTGTACGAAACCACGAGGTCCAGTCTGGCACGGGAATTCCCAGGAGAGCACCACTGTTTGTCCTCGAGCACGAAAATCCTGCGAAAAACAAGGCTGGTCGCGAACGACGAGAGCATCGTCGTGCAACGACATGGAGGAGTTATTAATAGCGTTCCGATGCTTCCAGCGAACTCGCGCGACACGAGAAAATCGCGAAAACGAGGAGAACCGAGTGGCAGAGGAAAAAAGACGAAGATATGGAAGGTCGGAAGAAGAATCGGTAACCTTCGAGCAATCGGAACAACACGCACGTATTTATCACGCAGCTAGGTGGTGGCTGCGCGAGGACACGCTCCGGTGCTTTAACCTCGTCCTCCGGCACGACACGACAACCACCGACGACGAAGGGGTTGAAACCGATCGTTGGCTACCGAACGAGCGAGTGCAGTCACGGAAGCGGACTCGCGAAAGCAGGTGTATGCGGCACTTGTTGATAAACACGAAAGCTCCCGCGGATTGATTAGTGGCCGTGCGAACTTCCACGAGCACAGTCGACGTCTCACGAGCTTCTCTCTATCGATTTCCGAAAAGGCGCTTTCGTTTAAACTGGTCCACAGTCTGCTTCCCGTGATTCGCTCGGATTCTTCGGATTTTATTGTTATTTCGCTGCATCGAGTGTAACTACGGTATTTTTCATGAATTGTCTTTGACTTTATGGGTCCATTATCGGTTTCCAGAATATCAACCGTGTTTTAGTAATGGCGGTTTTGATTCTGGAGCGTGGGTCTTATCGTTTGTTAACTCTTTGCGACATGGGATTTCAGATAATAAAATAGACCCATGTTGCGTGGCAATTTTATTGCGTTTTAAGTGAAACGAAATTGGTAAATTTTTACTAATAAAGGAATCGAATAATGTAGAAATATAAAGCTGGAAAAAAGAGATTGTGGCAATAAACCTTCCGCTTGCAACAATTGATGATCCTGTACTGGCATGTTGAATGTTGCCAACACGAGCGAATTCATTTATAACATTTGTTGAAGGTATTAACAACTGCTTCACGTAAATAACACGAAATGTAAACCTATGCGTATGCAGCTATTGCAATATTTCGAGGTGAGACTAAAAGTGTCCTACCATGCATTAGGGTGCATCAAAAAGGTGGGAAACTTTGAATCTCAGCGTGCCCCAAAGAGTTAATTATGAAAAATAGTATATCGAGGAGGTATTTAAATTTAATAGAGTATCACATATCTATTTCGTACAATGAAATTGTATACAAATTTTATAAAAATGTGTTAAAATATGTCAGGTTATTGCGAAGTTCGACATGAAAATTCACGATAATTCCAGTCATTCGAATAGAATAAAACTAGTTTCGTTTGATACAGATACTTTCATCGTATTCTATATTACGTTTGGTGGCTTCACGTAAATAAGACGAGATATAAACCTATGGGCATGCTGCTATTGCAATATTTCCAGGTGGGACTAAAAATATTCCATCATTAGTCCCAGCATGCCCCAAAAGGGTTAATTATGAAAAATAGTATATCGAAGAGGTATTTAAATTTAGTAGAATATCACATATCTATTTCGTACAATGAAATTGCATACAAATTTTATAAAAATATGTTAAAATTCGACATGAAAATTCGTGGCAATTCGAATCATTTGAATGAATAAAACTAGCTTCGTTTAACATAGATACTTTTATCGTATGCTACCTTACCCTACCATGCATTATGGTGCATCGAAAAGATGGGATACTATTAATCCCAGCATATCACCAAAAATTTAATTATGAAAAATAGTATATCGAGGAGGTATTTAAATTTAGTAGAATATCACATATCTATTTCGTACAATGAAATTCTATACAAATTTTATAAAAATGTATTAAAATATATCAGGTTATTGTGAAGTTCGACATGAAAATTTACGATGATTCCAGTCATTCGAATAAATAAAACTAGCTTCGTTTGACGCAGATATTTTCATCCTATGCTACATTATGTTTGATAGCTTCACGTAAATAAGACGAAATGTAAACCTATGCGTATGCAGCTATTGCAATATTTCGAGGTGAGACTAAAAGTGTCCTACCATGCATTAGGGTGCATCAAAAAGGTGGGAAACTTTGAATCTCAGCGTGCCCCAAAGACTTAATTACGAAAAATAGTATATCGAAGAGGTATTTAAATTTAGTAGAATATCACATACCTATTTCGTGCAATGAAATTGTATACAAATTTTATAAAAATGTATTAAAATATGTCAGGTTATTGCGAAGTTCGGCATGAAAATTTACGATGATTCCAGTCATTCTAATAAAATAAAACGAGCTTCGTTTGACGCAGGTACTTTCATCGTATGCTACATTACGTTTGATAGCTTTGCGGTATATTTTCAGCAGATTGGCCGTGTTAGACGTTTATTTCGAATACTATAACCTAACGAGGATAAATTTTACGTGGACGATACGTACCTTGAAACGTCAGCGTGACATCTATCCTCATCGTTTCTGCTTCCTTGATTGTCAACGTTGCACTTGGCGCCTCTCACCATCGGAAGTCCTTTGGAATTGCGGCTAACCAAACTCGAGATCCATTCTTCGGGAGCCATGACAGCACGAGTCACGGCGAAATTAAATATTTCCGATTTCGCGGGCCCCTCCGAGCAACCATGATTATGCGGATTAATTTCTGCCAACTCCACGATTTTTCTACCAAATATGTCGCGCGCGATCTGCGAAAAGAGGTTACTCGCGAACTTTCAGGGAAATGTCAAAAATCCTGTCGACACCGAACACCTTGAAGTGAACCTCGAATTTTATATCCCCGTCGACGCGTAATTATCTTTCTCTCTTTAAATAATCGTGCTCGGTTCTCGAACTGATCCCGCTTCTGAATCATGCAGCTAGGAATTATTTTCGCGGCTGGTGGAGCTCGGCTATGGCCAGGTAACCTCGAGGAGAAACGCGCGAGTGGGCCACGTGAAGAACGAGTCTGAATTCCACGTAGTCGTCGATCAAAATCGAAGAATGGCGACAGGCTGCCAGGAGGGCATTAGAAATGTAGATTCGGGAGTCAAAGTCATCGGGCCGCACCCTTCATTCATATTCTAAACCACAATTTGCCAGCGTTAACCGGTACATCTGTGTCTCTTGATCAATCCTCTATACGTATCGAAATAATGGTCGTAGGAAATTTATGGCGTGGCCTGAAAGGGCCTAGATGTAGTGGGAGAATTTTTCCCCTTGTGGAAGGAATCCCAAAAAATTCGAGTTCAGTTGTCGAAAAGAGGCGTACCCTGTCAGACGTGTTCCCTCAAGTATTTCTAAAATAAAGTCTTTAATCTCTGTTGCGATATGGCGAATTTTATTTTGCCCACGCTTTAATTTTTTCCCAGCTAATTTTAATTCAACGATACGACAAGTAAACCTTGAACCGCTGTTATGACACGGCGAATTTTATTTTGTCTACGCTTTAATTTTTACCCAGCTACTTTTAATTCGACGATACGACAAATAAACCTTTCTAAAATATAGCCTTTAACACTTTGACTGCCATGTTGGTCATATATGACCGGTTCACGGTTTCTCCGGTGACGCCACGGTGGTCATCGGTGATCCGAGTGCTTGAGCTACTTGTATGCTACAATTGTAAAAATTGAAGGAAAATTGACAGTTAGTGCATTGTAAATATAAGCGCTAATTAGAAGACTCTTTAAAATAAAAAGTGTCACATTGAATAATTAAAAATTTTTATTAGAACATCGATCAAAAAGATATTAGAACAAGGGGTGCACTCTCGTGGCATCCTGAACGAAACACGTAATTTCGGCGTAGCAGTGAAGGGGTTAATCTCTGTTCTGATTTGGCAAATTTTATTTTGCCGTGCTTCAATTTTTACCTAGCTTCTTTTAATTCAATAATACGACAAATTAACCTTTAATCTCTGTTGCGATTCAGCAAATTTTATTTTGCCATGCTTCAATTTTTACCTAGCTTCTTTTAATTCAATAATACGACAAATTAACCTTTAATCTCTGTTGCGATTCGGCAAATTTTATTTTGCCCATGCTTTAATTTTTACTCAGTTTCTTCTAATTCAATAATTCGACAAATAAACGTTTCTTAAATAAAGCCTTTAATCTCTGTTGCGATACAGCGAATTTTATTTTGCCATGCTTTAATTTTTACCTAGCTCCTTCTAATTCAATAATACAACAAATAAATCTTGAACCTCTGTTGTGATATGGCAAGTTTTATTTTGCCCACGCTTTAATTTTTACCCAGCTCTTATTAATTTAATAATCCGACAAATAAACCTTTCTAAAATAAAGCCTTTAATCTCCGTTGTGATACGGCTAGTTTTATTTTGCCCAAGCTTTAATTTTTATCCTTTTAATTCAATAATACGACAAATAAGCCTCGAACCCCTGTCGTGATACGGCGAGTTTTATTGTGCCCACGCTTTAATTTCTACCCAGCTCCTAATTCAACGATCCGACAAATAAACCTTTCTAAAATGAAGCCTTTAATCTCTGTTGCGATTCGACTAGTTTTATTTTGCCCACGCTTTACTTTTTACCCAGCTCCTTTTAATTCAACGACACGACAAATAAACTTCGCGATACACCCTGTGCTCCACGCATAAATCCCATCCGTCCAGTCACATCTCGATAAATTTGTTTCTCCTATTAGTCAAGCTTCAGGAATTCTTTCATCATCTTCCCAGTTGCACAGACTGCCAGTTTACCTGTCTCGCTCGAAACAGCGACTCGATGACATTTTCGAAATTCTGTAATAGCGATCAAGAGATTCGCTAGAGACTCGCGGGACTCTGACTCCCTCTATCTCGGATATTTCACCGATGATCAGTACGAGATTCCTTGGTCGACTAGAAATTGCACGTCGGGTGGTCCAAATTGCCCGATGGTCGGACGAAAATCGGACGTGAAACTGGTTTCTTCATGACTCGTTGACAATGGTCGAAATGGTTCGATCATTACGAAGCGCTTACGTCGTGGAAAAAAAAGATCACGAGCAGGTATCCCGTTGATCGTGGTGGAGGATCGAGAGGAAACGACAGAGGAGCTAAGCATAGGAGTAAAGGAAAAAAACAATCACGGATGATATCCGATGAGGTGGGGGCTTCTGCTCTCCATGAGGAATATATAAATCGCGGGTAGGGCTTAAATTCAGGTTAGTTCAGATAGTTTGCGAGCCTATCGCGAAGCTGTGATCACGCTATGCAGGTGAGTCTACCCGAGCGCTTCGTTTGGTTACCGTTTCTCCGACTTTACGCTGCGAGGTTGCATCGTTGACAGCGATTTGCCTTCTGCACCATGACGGTTCCGATCATAACGCGATACCCGGTCGGTATCTACCGTGATAGGCTTCTTGGGCTTGCGTGATAAATTCGAAATTGGAAGAGTGGAAAGCGGCGACGACGGTAAGAGGAAAAAGAAAACGGAGCGTTTTTATAAATAATTCCCAAGGCACGAAGAACCGTTACATCTGTCGACGAAATCTGTTCCCGCGTTGCCTGCGAATCAGGATCATTGATATGCTAGCCACGCGTTACTGCGCATCGAGCCAAAGTTCGTATTATCAAAAGCGCCTGACCAGCTGCTTCTTTATTCGACGCAGGCAATGATCAATCTGTGGTTAACTACCGCATTGCTTCTCGTGTCACGCGAATCCAGATATATCTCTGAAACAACCGTTTCCTCGGACAGGATAACCGTTGCCGCGAATACATCTCGATTTTCCTTCGCCATTATGTTTCAAGCTCCACGTCGCGTTGCTCGCTTTCGCTGTGATCCTGGTCATATCGATAGAGGCGAAACCAATCTGGTCAGACTTGTACGTCAGCAGCTACCAGTACCCTCCCGGAGCCATCAACGTGCACCCACAGCTGCTTCAGTACCAGAGCTCCCCGTACTACCTTTACAATGTAACGTACCACTTAAAACGATAATCCTCGTTGTCGTTCTGTATTTGTGTTTCGCATTTGCGTCTATTTCCCTAGGTACACACGGATGCAAGCGCGGCCCCCGCTGCCGCCATCGCCCAAGGAAAACTTTCGGTCTCCCACTTGCCAGCCTACAGCGTTTATTATGGGACCCCGGTTTACGATTTCCGGTTTCCATTGAATCCGGTAAAAAATCTCGCCGTCTGGCTATTTTTAAATATAAATTTGTCTTATAAATCTCGCCGTTAAGAGACACGCCATTTTTATCGTCCCAGGGCCGCGCCTCCGCGCACTCGGTCTACAGCGCGCAAGATTAACGAGCTTATTTTCCTCCAGGTGTTTCCGATATTGAAACCCGCCCAACCGGGAGGCGAGCTTAAACCCACTGCACCATCGACGACCACTATGAAGCCAGCTGACAAGGACGGCGAGGATGGCATCGAGAAGTTGGACTCGAAGGTTGAACCAGGAAAGGAAACGAAGAAACCGAATGAGGAAAAGAAAGAGGAAAACATGGACGACGAGAGCATTACCATTGACTCGATATAAACCGTGTACATATCATGTTCCACGCAAATCGATGCTAATTAAATAAAACACCTTCGCCGTTTCCTATTACGTCCTTACATGTTCATTTATATACTCTCTGGCTTCAACGACGACAGCTTTAATCGCTTCGTCGGACGCGATAAAAGCCAATGACACTTGCAATCACTGGCGCCACGATCATGGCAATAACGCGTCAAAGGCAAACGATTAGTCAGGCGCTCATAGATTCACGATAAATCGTATAAATACATTGCTATAATTAGATATGATTTTTAAACGAGCGAAACAATCGCGCGTCTAACAGCGAGGTCTCTCACCCCATGGCGCACGGGTGGCAGATAAACCGAGGTCAAAGATGCGGTGTGCTCTTTGCGTTTCTTCATTTACACCGTCAGTGCTCGAATCGTTAGCATCGCTCGGAAATATGACGAAGAGCCTTTGGGTCGCCTGTGTTTTTCTCACATTCGCCATTTTCGTGATTACCCAAGCGTCTGCCTCGAACGAGACGCAGCCTAGCGAGGATTACCAGGATCTAAAAACGTACGACGTGAAGACCAAGGGGAAGGAACCGAAGGCGAAAAAGTCCAACGAATCGATTAAAGACGCCGAGAGCAATCTCAGGGCCAAGGCTAAACCGGCCCCGAAGAAGTACAGGATCGTTCTGATGGGAACGAGAGCGAAGACCCCTGACGAAGAGAAGTACCGTCTACCCGTGGAGAAAATAACCGAAACGGTGATCCAGAGCGACGAGCAATACAAGGACAGAGCGAAAAGAAACGCGACCGTGCTGAAAGAATTGAAAGACGCGAAGAAGAGCCAGAAGAAGCTGAAGCTGGCACAGAGTCGGACTGGTTACAAGAATTGGAAGAACAAAGAGCGGCCGAGCGACTCGACCAAAGATAAATCGTTGGACAAGACGCTGAAGATCAGCAAGCGTCAAGTGGACTATTTGGCGGAGGATAAAAATCGATTGGAAAGATCGGCGCGTTACGCGGTGACCAGGAATTTCAAGGATGAGAAGTATTACGCGCAGAGGAAGGCGGTTATGGACAGATTTTACGCCCGGCAGAAAGAAATCGCGGAGAAGTACGCGAGAAAAGTGTCCACCACTCCGAAGTACATCTACAGGTACGATATAGGAGAGGAGATGGACAGGAACAACGTATCCTCGACTATTAAGACGACCGCGGACAAGATCGCGGAAACTGGAAACGCCAGCAGGTATAACGATCTCGGTACCAGTACTACCGCTGCTCCTACGACGCAGATCGAGCAGATCGAAGAAACGGTAACGGTAGCTAGTCGCGATAGTCGTGGCAACCAGCTACAAATTACGGACAATTGGTCGGAGGATAACGTGGAGGAAGACGAGTCGGACGATTACGATTACTACGTGCAGGAAGATGTGAAGTATAAGCCAGTAGCCGAAGCAACTTTGGACGAAAATGGCACCATGAACGACAGTAAATGGGATGCGGTAAGTAACGTAACGCAACATGTGCAACAAATTTTCATATATTATACTGCAAAGACTTAACAGACTAAACTTAACAGACTTAACTCCCTACATAAATAGACTATCGAGAAGAGTATAAAGAGTGACAAGTCACTAGCATACTTCTAAAAGACGTTGTTAAATAACGAAAAATATGTTCAGGCCGACGACGGGATGGACACGATAAGATGGGGCAATTGCTCGGGTCAATTAGTTTATGTGCACGATCTAATAATCGGTGTACACAACGCGACGTACACTGACGCAAATGCATCGACATTCTTGGAGGTACCGTACTGCGTCACTTGCATCATCATGATACCGACAAACACGAGCAAAGCGTTAAGCGACATGAACATAAATCGCAATAACGACAACGGCCACACCAACGTGGTACTTACATTGAGAGGCTTTCGGGACGAGAACTTACGCTATACCTTGAAGATATGGGGTATTAGCAAAAGCAACGACCGTTGCGACCACGTGTGAGCGAAAATTTGATCGATCGTTGTAGCATGACTTTACATTAAAAAACGATTCTAACCTATACAACGTCCTTGCGTACACCGAATTCATTCTTCCTTCTTCGTGCCACTCGTCGTCCGTGAAAAATCGTCGTTCCCTCGTGACGATATGAGATAATCAGTCTGATCATGGAAGCAATCGTAACTCGAAAACCTTGCCGAACCGGTTCCACTTCAAGAACTTTTCGGCACAGCTGTCGGAAGGGGTGGCGGTGGTACATCTGGTATTTTCTCTTTCTGATCCTTTGTCGTGATCTTCTTTTCCTCGTGGTAGGCTGGCAGCAGATGTTCCGAGAGTCCATTCTTCGGAGTGGTGGCTGGAATAGGATCCAGGACTCCATAAGGTTGATAGTCCACGTAGTACGTGCCAGGCACCAGGTGAGGATTGAACCTATTGTACGTGTAGAAATAGGGGTCGTAGTACAACGACTGATAGTTCGGATAGAAGCTCAGGGGTTCCTGTTCTTCGTTTTTGCCTTTGGACCCTGACTTCGACGCATCTTTCTGCTCTTCCGGATTTAGGTTCGTTGGTTCTGCGCTCTCCTTGCTGTCAGCTGATTTCGATTGTTCCACTGCTGCGGAGGGTTCGGCTTGAATGTCAGGCTGATTGCTCGGCTTCGAGGCTCCTTGGGGAAGATGCACTATTTCTGGACCAGCGATATGAGGCGCTACTTGCGTGTAATAAACCGGTGGCACATAGCCGACTGCGGTTCGATGAATTACCGGTTGAATCACAGGGAACGCTCTAGACGGGGATAAATTTTGATTGCTCGTGATGACTGCGTTGTACACCTTGGGAACCCTGAGAAGTCCTGGATCTCCTGAAGCCAAGGTTATCAATGCGAGGGTCACGAATAGATTCATCTGAAAATCATTAAACATCGTCAGTGCCGATAATACGAGTCCTATCCAAGTAACATAACGTTGCAGGGACCTTGCAAACGTAACGTTACGTTTGACACGTCCGATACATAAACTGTCACGTCTTGGACGAAACGATACAATTCAAAGTCCCTTGTTCGCGTACAGTACCGATAAATCCGAGTGCAAACACGCACGTATAGGCAGAACAAAGCAATCCCAAACTGACGTACGAGACAGTTACAAGCATCAACCGTTGATGCAACAACAAAGCTATGCAGGAAAGTCATATCGCTATGAAACGTGATTATGAATTCCTTCGCGCGCACCTAACAAGACTCTCAACCTCGAAAGTCTATTTCGTTTACACGCGTGTAATTTCTAATTTCACCGACAGGTAGAAAAATTGACAGTTTATGGAAAAATTGTAACAACCTTATCGCGATTGTACATCGAACGAATTTCCCACAACTCCTCCTAGTTTGAGGAAAGCAGCGTTCACGATCTGACCGCGTGTCAGCCAGGTGGGCATTGTTTCTGGAAAGGTAACTGCCATCCATGGATAATGATCTCGCGTGTGCGCGGTGGAACGAGCGCATACAAACGAGTGGAGGTACGCGTGCACGGAATAGAATCTCAACCGTTTTCTTCGTAGGTGTGTACCCACAATCGAGTTGTCGCACCTAGCGAAATTCTTGCGTCCCGTCGAGTCCAGATAATCGGCAGAACAATAGATTTCAACGACAAAAGCTGCTAACTTTGCAAAGGAGCTGTACGTGGCTCTAGCGGGTTGCAAAAGAGCTCTATGGAAATTGCTGGTTCGATGGGACATGCACGGAACATCGCGTTGTAAACATACCGCGATGATTCATCTCGTTAACATACGCGACTCTTCCG